AATTTAAAAAAAATCTTTTCATTTGTTCAAATCATTCCAATATGTTCGACAACATTATTTATCTGTATCATTTTAAATATTTGTTCAATAATTTCATCTAATAATCGATATGATAAATTATTTATATATATATTTGTATCTTTAGATATCAAATCTATTTTGATCATGTTCGTCTGATAAAGAAAAAGACTTTCCATAAAGTTTATAACTAGAGAAGATTCATTGTAATCATTTCTATAATTAATTCTATCTTCTTAAATTAGAAGAATAAAATTTATTTGTTTTATATCAAAAGAGAATTTCTTGATTTCCATTAATCGAAATCATTTTTTTTATCTTGATGAAAATTAAATATTAATTACTAAAAATTGTTAAGAACTCATCAAATTGAGAAGAAATTGAAAAAAAATCAAACTTATTGGATAAAAATACTAATTCAGATTTCATTTTTATCTCAATATAAGTTATTCTTCCACTACTTCATATATTTCTTATTGATTTCTATGTGTTTTTAACCCTTTTGAATCGTTTTTCACCTCGACCAACTATTTCCCAATTTTTATCTGTGTCTTTTATATAAAATAGTGATTTCTCTAGTCGGAAATCACTTTGTTCCCTTTTGTTTTATATAAAATATTGAAATAATCCTTGAAGGACAATGAAGAAATATAATTTATTATTAATTCTTTTATATTTTTATTCAATTGTTGATCGAATATTAATGTTTTTGTTGTCACACATCTTCACACTGTTCTCAGTTGTTTCTTAAATCAATCCAATTCGATATCAGGAATTAATTCGAATTGAATTCGATGTTTTTGTAATTGTTGATCTTTCGTGAAATCAGTTTGACTTTTCGTATTCGTTATTTCTGTAGTTAACATGTTGGACACATTTGTACGATTTGAAAAGAATATTCCATTTAATAAACTAAAAAAGTTTTGGAAAACATCGTTAAACTGTTGGACATTTGCAGATGGATCTTGAGTGATTGATCGTCTATAGATTGTATTCTCCGTTAACTGTGACAATAATGGTAAAGTTCGGATTATGTTCTCATTTAACAAATTATTCATATCGACTAATGGTGGCGAAGTTGTCGATTTGAGTAGAGTGTCCAACTCTGTTTGTTCCAGAATAACATCAAATAGTTTCACACCGATTATCGAAGTCATTGTTTGAGCAAGATAGACAACATTTTCTTTTCCAAATTTTCGATCTGAATGTAAAACAGGAGAACTGTTCGATACATCGCTTATCAGTAGTTTTTTCCACAGTTGCCAAGTATTTCGATCTTCGTCATCAAACAAACTCATCAACAGTAGTAAGGAAATGCTCTGTAAAATAGCAGACATACTCATGTAATCATCATCATCATCATTATTGTTCTCATCGTCGGTGAACATTTTGATAAAATCATTGTTAAATGGCGCATCTGCACAAAGTGTAATACAATCTTCAATAAAATCGGGTTGTTCCATCATCTTCAAAGTAAATTGTTCTGCATAATTTTGATATTGTACCATTTTCTCATTTTTATTTTTGGTATTTAATTGAGTAGATGAAACATATTCATCGTCAAGATCTACATTATTTTTTAGAATGAATATTAATTCATCTAAATATTGTTTTGAATATCCATCGAGTATGTTCAAATCTTTAATAAAGTAATGTGGACAAATACGTGATTGGAAAATTGAACATACATATTCGATCCATCGTTTTGCTAATCGATCAGCCAAGAGTTTTTCTTCTCGAGAATCGTCAATATTCACAACAGTATAAATATGATCTAAATCGATCGTTTCACACATCCATAAAATGGTAGTTTTAACAAAATACGAAGGTATGCATTGTTCACCATATGACAATGATGTGTTTATTGAACTTTTATGCAAATATTTATAAAATAAACCACGAGCTACTCGATTTAATATTTGTTCAATAAATGAACGCTGTTCAGCTAATTTAATCTCGATTAATGAATACGAATAACGAAATTGTAGAGTTTTGCGCATTTGTTTATTTGTTGTTTTTCCCGACCATTTGGAAACGATATGCATGTGCAATGATTCAATTTTATCGAACAATAATGGACGATTTCTTTTCAATCGATTAAGAAACCATTGCATATCAGATGGCCAGAATTCCAGTTTCAACGATGGAACGAGATCGATCTCTCCAGAACTCAATTCTGGATGAGTTTGTTCAATCAGCATTTGTCTCAGCATTGCAGAGTTCAGATATGATCCGTATTTCAAGTAAAAATCGAGAATTTGTTCAATTTTTGTCCGTTGATCGTTCGATAATTGAAAACCAAAAACTGGACTTAAGAAAGAGAATACATCTTTATAATATTGTACATCCGAGAGCGCAGAGATATGAAGACCAGCGAGCTTCGAACATTCACTTTTCATATAATTCTCACAATATTTTGAATATTCGAGAAAATTTCTTTTCTTAATTTCGTTTCGTTTGATTGTTTCAATGTATTTTAGTGCATTATGAAATAAATCAAAGTTACGAGATATGTCGAAATTTACGTCACACTGAACGCTAGCCGATTCAGACTTCGCATTCGCTGTACCGCCCAACAATTGATTTTGATCACGCAAATATTCGGCATAAAGTTGTTTTATTTGAAAACCATTGACAAATCCATCGTCATGAGGTAAATATGCCGTTTCATCATCAGCTGACCATTTAACCATAACGAAACCAGAAATATTTTCAATAGGTATTATCTGTTCATTTGAGTATAAGCGAGCAATTTCAACCATATAATCAAAATCTTGCAATTTGTTATCCCGACGAAAATGATTAGCACCTGCACTTCCTTCTACTGCACTACCAGAACAAATTATTTTTCTTGCATTGCGAAAAATAGGTAATAATTTTGTTAAAGTACATTCATTTGTAGAAGTCTTAAGAAAAATATTTTCTATTTTAATCTTGAAAAACGGTCAAAAAGTTTGCTTTTCATATTGTTATCTTATTTCTTGGCTATCACTACAGATTAAAATGTGAATTCCTTATTCTCAAAAGTCTTTTTACCTACCGATAATGATTCATATAACAGTTTAATCGAATATTTCTTCTTTAATTTCTCCCGTAATTTATCTCCATAACTCAATCCAATTATCTTTGGCGCCGACAGTGTTTTATTTGTGTTGTTCATTTTATGAATTTTCCTTTCTTTTCAATTGTTATTCGAGTCAAAATGATGGTGTTCTACAAAGAATTGAAGAAATAGTCATGACAACGAGCTTTTTTCCAACATAAGTCTTATTCTATAGAATGCAAGAAAAGTTAGATGATGTCGGTCTTCTTTCCTTGCTTTCATCTACACTTATGAAATCAACTACCGAGTGAATCGTAATATATGTGTTTTTTTCTTTTTTATAACGTGTTGTAAGAGTTATTACATCGAATGATGAATATATTTGTTGATGGCGATAAACAAAATATTTTGTAAAACTCTAATTCATCGTCTTTCGAATGAATTATTTGCATTTTACTTGAAAATGAAAACTAATTAATTTATTCAATACCCGAAGCAGAAGAAGTTGTTGCTGAGAGGATTGTTCGAAGTTTAAAAAAAATATCACTTTTAACATGTTCTAAATGAACTTCAGGTAAAGCTGAATCATCTTCACATTGAATAACTTTGATTATTGTAAAAAAATTTCCTGGTAAAATCAAAACTTCATCTTCTTTTAAATCAAATTCTCGAATAAAACGATCACATAGAGATGCATCTCGATTCAGATTACTGTCAATAATCGCTAAATTTTTATTTAATTCCGCGTAAAATCGTAAATTCTTGTCTGTATATAAATGAATTAATGGAATAATAATGTTAAATTCTTTTGATATTTCGATAAAATCTCTTGGATTTTGACTCGCAGCTAATCAAGTGTGCACATTTTTTGCGAGAAATATATTTTCGATGATCAGTTTTTGATTGTGTAATAGTAACAGAATTGATATCATTGGCCTATGGGAAGACTGAATTGCAGGAGCGATTGTATTTCTACAACAAAATACCGACATCAATCGTTGCCCGAAACTTCTCATTTCTCTTTCTTCTGTATTCTCTTGAATAGTTACAATGGATTGATTCTCATTCGGTGGAATAGGATTGAGAACTCTCGATTATTATTCAAATCAAAGAGTTCAGGAGCAAAGTCATTTCCTCCTTCAAATCTACGATAAATCCAAGAACAGATTTTGATCCACATAGCTAATGCTTGTCGATTCGTTAGATATTCTATCATTTCTTCTTCACTTATTAATTCCTGACTTCAAATAGGTTTCTCTTTATTTCCAATAGAAGCGTCAGTCGTATTCAATTCAGGAAACTCTCCAATTGCCATTAAAAGTCGAAAAGCCCTCTATGAATCTTGTGGATTTACTTCAAAGAAATGTTCTGGAGTAGAAGGTGCAAATAATTGTTTCATTTCATCGGTTTGAGCTTCTTCAAAGTGAAGTTTACCGCATTACTATTGTAAGTATTTCGACTACATCCACTTTGTAATAATAAACGTACGATTGATGAAAGTCTTTTCACTTTTTCTTTAACGTAATTCAAAACGGTGAGGATTCGTTATGTTGAATTCGTTTCAAATGTCGCGCTGTTTCTTTTTGCTTGTTTTTCCTCGTGGCCACAGATGGATTCGATTTTAGTGAGGAAAGCATTTTTATACTTTTACTTCTCTTAGAAACACACGGAGTGTCGAGTACAAACTCTTTCTCCGTTGTCATAAAAAACAAACACGAGTTATTTGGATTTTTCATGTCAATGAAAGAGGAATCGAATTTTGGTGAACTACATACGTATGTAAACGAAGCACATGAATATATTAGATTGAGCAAAAAGTTCTGCAACGCTTCTGAAAAGCTGACTTTTATGTACGAACTTATTCAGAAACAATAACAATTAATTACTTTTGAAAATAAAGTCCATCGTTTTCAACAATCTTTCGCCATCGATGAAAAAGCATTCAAATGTGACCGAAGAAATCTCATCACGCTTTCTCAACTGGATCAAATGACTCGAATCGGCGACCGCGAAAAAAATACTGCATTGATCGAAAGAGACCGTAATCGGATGGCACAACATCAAGGCTGTAGGTTGGACGTGGCAAAACCTATAGTTCACCAGACGCAAATCATCACCTTCTTACCAAAATGGTGCTGACAAGAAACTGATGACGAGACCCACCGTTTCTGTCGGTTGTGATTAATCAAGTAGGCCCATTTTCGTCTGAAGTCACAATATGCTTTCAAAAGCGGTCATCTCGTAGATTTGACGAGGCATCTTGTGCTTGATTTCCGAGACTAAATGCATCTGAAACTTAGAGGATAAGATGAAATTGGAACATGATAAAGATAAAAACAACAAAACTTCGCATAACAAGTAAAATTTTTGCAAGTGTTGTAGAACTTTTTTTGCCCAACCCTATCGTACCGAAATTACACTTATGCCGAAGTTGTAACTTCGGCACGACATATACATCTGCTTCTCACCCTCATCACTAGGTGTTATTTCATCATCATCAACAAAAAGACCCTGTGGATCCCAGAGTTAACTGATCGTATCGCTTAGTTCATTTGCTTCAACAATAGTCGTAGCATTTTGTGCTCATCGTGCATTAGCAAAAGTTCTAGGAATAACGACAAATCAATGAAAACGTAAAGCATGTTTTAGGAACCAATATATTTATGAACAGGAAAATTATTCATTAAATTAGATGTAAATGTATGATAATACGTCATTTGAATCTTTCTTTCATTCCATTCAATTATCTTCGACAAACGACATGTTCCTATTAGTCGAATTGCCATTACACTTTTACATGTGCCTCTATCATATAATTCAATAAAAAAACAACACAACATGACATTATCAAATAAGGGACAACTGTATAATGGAGTCGATTTATAAAATTTTAAAACCTTTGGCAAACATTTATTTGATTGTATTGATATGGTTTTTGACATTCATAAATTTCTATTTATGTTTAAAACCTATAAAAGATTATGCTACAACAACAGGTTTAAAAACAACACCGAAAATTTTAGATGAATTATTTTATTATACACCAGACGAAGGTTATCAAATATTAACTGCTTTAGATATTGGTGGACGAAATGCTTATCGCATCACAAATTCACTTGATTTTATCTTACCAATATTATTATTTCTTTCATTATCCTTACCTAATATTGCTTTAGGAGAAAGATGTCACTGTCTCATTATGCCGTTTGCTTATATGATATCAGATTATATTGAAAATATTGCTGAAAGATATGTTTTGGAAATTTATCCAAAACGAAATGATTTAATGATGACATTATCTAGTTATGCAGGTTTGATTAAATTCATCTCTCTAGGTATAAGTGTATTAATATTAATATTCAATTTATTCAAACGAAAAATGCTCTCAACACCGGACACACACGAATAGACACAAATACATTCGATTTATACAAAAAAATACATTTTCTTGATTTTTTGCATAAGGAAGAGTCTCTTTTCATTTGTTAATTGAAATTTTGTTCAATTAGGGTGAGGAGCGAATGGGTCGGGGATAGCTTAAGATTAACAGTCAATCCTTCGCCAACACTCTCACCCTCAAGAATTTCATTTTTCTCTCTCGTCGTATCAGATGAACAAATTGTGTAAATGTCAAATATATTTCACATGATAAGATAATATTGTACGTATCGATATTTATATGTGTATCTAATTCAATAATGAATCAAACTATTAATTGAATATTCTATCTTTATGAACAACCTGTTCTATTGAAGTTTTCTTTGATTAGGATTGCTTCCTTCGCAGAGATATCCACAGGGCAGGGTAGCTAAAAAAACGCGATTTTACGGCCGAATAACCTCTAATACTGTTTAATATCCTTAGTAATAGTTTCTCTTCCTTCATAACAACGGAATTTTATTGCTGTTTCAGCATTTTTAGACGTTGTCTGTAATTTGACGTACTAAACAGTTGATCTAAAGAATCTTTGAAGATAGCATAAATTTTAGATGAAGTCGTAGTGATCTTCAGAAGAAGTGATAGAATTCTCCTGAGATCAAAGAGCAAACAGCTAGAAAAATAATAAATCCTTGTGATAGACAAGTTCTGACTCGTTTCTACATGTATTTAGTTAGGTCTTCTTCTCTTTACTAGTCTAAAAATAGATCTCTGTTCAGAAAAAACTTATTTCTCATTTGAACCAAATTATTTTGTACAAAAATCAAAATGATAATACTAATCTTTAATCAATCGTCATTTTCCCCGAACGCTGATGTCGTAAGTAGCCGAATAAATAACTGTACTTCCCAAATTAATTATTAGACAACCGAACTGGAAGTATTATGTTGATTTNATCTGATTATCACATGGAAGGAAAGTATGTTTGACAACAAAACGTTTTTCATCTAATATTGCTAACTTGTTGCACATATGTATATCTTCCTGTACTAAATCACTATCCCAAAAATCAATTCTTTTTAAATAAATCAGTGAAAAAACAAAATGAAAATTTTGTTTAAAATTCAAATACAATATCAAATATAATTTTAATTCAAGAATATAAGAGCTTTCGATCAACACGATCATCATCAGTTAGCATGTGGTGTATCTGTATTGTGATAAGTTGTAAATTTTATTTGAAATTTAACAAATCCTGTTGAAAATTATCAACAAGTGATGATTTTTCGATTTTATATCAATTCTTTTTAAATAATTGTTTAGTGAGTAAATCACGGGATATGCTAGAGATAAAGTTGGGTAAGATCTCCTCGAGAGAATTTCTGTGGTGTCGTTGAACCGCTCTAAAACTCGGCGAAGCGCCTGTAGTATGTTCCGGTTAATACTTGCGAGTTTCGATTCAATGAGTTTCTTGCGCTGCCCCACCGTCACACCGTCGATTGTATCGAGATTGTCGTAAAACGTTCCAAGAACATTTTGATAGAGAAGCAGACGCTGAATCATTTTATAGGTGGAGTTCCACCGGATCTTCATGTTTTGAACTAGCTCGACTGAAACCACATCACGTGCCAACTTCAGAAGAGCGTCATTGAGGATGCTTGATTTCCGAATAGTAACAATGAATTTGCGACATTTCGTCATGAGAACACCGACATATTGTAAGCCTAATGCCACGACCTCCTCATCATCCAAATCAGACCAATCATCAGCACTATCGAGGTCTTGGACACCATCGCTATCTTCCTGACTAGACTGCTCACCAGTGGAATTGTGATTGGATGGTCTATCAGCGGTGGATTCTTCGTCGTTGGCTTCGCTCTTTGCGGCCGAAGATGATGAGGAAGTTTTACATGTCGTTCGCTTCACTTTTGGGCACAGATTCAGGGACATCTGAACGACCAGGTTCAGTCCATGTGTGATGTGGTGAAGACGAACACCGAAGACACTCATCTGTTGCGTGGCCTTGCGAATATCAGTACCGTTGTCAGTTGTTGTCGCATATATCTTCCCGTTGTCTAATCCGTACATAGCCAACACCGTGCGAACATGTCGTCGTAGACGCATAGCAAAGCTTCTTCCGTGAAATTGACGGAAGCTCAGAATAGTCCCACGTTGTTCGTAGTCCGATGAAACGAAGTGAGCTGTAATGCATAAATAATGGCGTTTCCGACCACTGCACCACGTGTCAGTCGTAATGGAGATGTGTTGAATATTTTTCAACTGCTGTATCATTGCCTCCTTTTTGATATTGTACTGAGTCTTCAAATTCCTCTGAACTGTCCGAGCAGTAGGACCTTTGTATCCCGGCATTGCAACTTGCAGGAAAGTCTCCAAATAAACGAGAATCCAAAATAATGGCTTTGATGGCAGCTTCATTGAACCTCCGTTTTTTCTCTGGAGCGATCGAATCAGGGTTGCGCAGCACTTGGCTTTTAGAGTACAAATTCGTTTTCCCATGAGCTTCGCTAAATGGCGACGGATGTTGACATTTGTCCCTGTTCCACAGCGGTACGTCTTGGAGCATAATTTACATTTGTATTCATTTGGTGACAGTTTATCCAGAAACTGACTCACAATCGATGATCGAGTCGGTGAAATCTTTTGATCACTTCCAACATGTTGTTCGGACCGCTGAACACCATCGTTCGCCGACGAGCAGCACTGGTCACATTGGTGGATCGTCGCTGAACGTTTCCTTGAATGAACGATCGACTGTTACTTGATTTCACTTTTTCAATAGATGATTTGGACGATGGTCTACCCATTCGTATGGTCTCAGATGATGGAAGTATTGTTTATCTGAGGATAGAGTTCACTCTCAATCGTATCTTAGCTTAGACGAAAAATGTATCCATTTTATACATCATCAAGACGGCAATCGACACCAAGAAGAGAATAGTGTGATGCATCACATTTGGAAAAAAACCATTGTTATTCGAGTGTACGATCAAGGGATTATTCATTTCGATATCATGTCCATCTGATGAATGATATATTTACGTACTAGTCATTTGAATGCTCGCTAGTTTGTTTCCCTTGATTTTTTTGGACAGACCTATGAATTCATCCCAATCCGCTGCTCGAAACGAGAGATGATTGTTTTAGGCGTTGTAGAAAGGATATATCCCCTCCTACCATAGATTTATCTACATGAATCATGAATGCGGGCAAACCCTAGTTCGATATGCCACATATGTATCGGTCTTTCTGCTCGTATATTTCGATTATGAATGTATCTCCATCTTTCGGCCATCATTTCCTCTTCAACTTTCGCCGTGGTTTAGCTATCAATCACTTCACCTCAATAAGAAATCTATTTTTGCAAGAAGTATTCCAATAGCTTCAACAACAGTTCATTTCTAGTTCTTTGAGTAGAAGTTTATTCACTATTACAGTTCTTTTAAACTTGAACTGTCGCACAGTTACAGTTCTATTGAACTAGAACTACTTAAAAATCCTAGTTCTATGAACTGAACTGGAACTGTCGTAGGCCTAGTGTGGACAGACACTGGATTGAAAATGCTATTGAAATCGGCTCAACAATCTTGCTCACAGATCACCCTGAAGTATTGTCTTGTGTGCGTATAAATGGCGTTGAGATGATGACTTGTTCTCAAGTTAGATGTTTTCTCTAATGAGCTATTTTTCGGAGGATGAAATAAGGTAATGAAATAGATGGAACAGCACGGAAAATCTTGAGGGTTCCGTGTATTAAGAAAATGATTGTCGGATCTCTTTGTTCCTGCCGGTTTTCGCATGTAAGATTACTGATGGAATTTTCTTCAAGAGTTCCCGGCCTGGAATGCTACTTCCATGAAATAACCGGAATGTTCTAGATTATTCCAGTTTCGGACCGGATTCATCGATCTGGGTCACACTGCATCGTGTATGATCGCTTTGGCGTTTTGTCGTCCACTGACTCCTTCTCAATGATTCACCACTTCCTCAACTCACTTTTTCCTCTTGTCTCATACTTTTCCTGCTGGTATAGGGAAGGTGTTAGCGATGATGAATATCCTCGCTACTATCTCTCTCTCTCTCTCTCTCTCTCTCTTCCTCTCTACCATGTCACATCTGGATACATTCCTTCTCATTTCTCTGCTTAGTGTTGCAGACCTCTCGTTCGTTTGTTTTTGGAAAAAGAATGCTATCTTCGATACCATTCTTTCTCTTTCATATACATCACTGCAGGGCCGTGCAGACAGACTCACAATACATAAAGTCTAACTCCAGCTTTACTTGATTTCATCAAAGTTTTCTGTTTCAATAGAGTTACAAGTGATTGTTTTCTAATTTTGTCTCTCGTTTTTTTTGTAAAGATATTTTATTTATTATCTTGAGATCACTTGCATTTACCGGTTCAAATCTTAGTTTTTGTTCATCACGACTGTGAGTCGGGATCAAGAGAGGAGACGGATCCATTTTTAAACAATTTTTCGTTTCTTACTTATTTTCTCTGTGATTTTGGGTTTGAGTAATACACATTCAAAAACACGAAGCACACAGTTGGAAGGAATTATTTTAGATTGAGGTGAAGCCGTTCTAGACTCTAATTTCGCTTTAAATAGATATGTAAAGACGAAGAATCTGAGTCAGTATCATAACCAGTGGGTAGGACAAATATGTAGTTTCCCACATTATTTTGGTGTTCGTGCCTTGAGGTACTACTATATTGCGATTTTCATACTTCTTGGTGGACTATTTAGGAAAAGTCTTTATCTGCTGTCGAAATGCGTATAGTTCAATTTGATCAGTGAATATCTTGCACATAAATGGGAGAGCTAAGTATAGGTATTTAACTAGATCTTGAAACAAGTTCTTGTGTTAATTAATTGCTGTCTATATAAAAACCTTTTAATCCACCATTTTTTCCATATTAGCTAAAACTGTCTATTTGACTGAAGATCCATGGCCGTGCCATTAACTCTACTCATTTTACTGTTAAGTTTATAATTTGAATCAATTGTAGATTGCAATGTCTCATGTATTTATTGCGTCACTTTACTATGCACGAAAACAAATTGGCTTATATTTTGGTATTCCAGTATTCATCGTCAGTGTTGTTGGAGAATTTTTTAGCATCGTTGTCCTTCTCAGTCTGAAGACATTTCGACAAAATTCATGCGGATTTTATCTTCTGACCATGTCAATATTCAATCTGATTCGACTCAGTTTGAGTACAGTGTTTATTATCATCTCATTATCATTTGGAATCGATTACTCAGTATCAATGTTCTTCTTTTGTCAATTGCGAAATCTCATTGCAACAACGTGTAACACGGGTTCGATTTCATGCTTATGTATGGCTGTAATTGATCAATATTTTGCCACCTGTTCTCGTCCCCGATGGCAACAATGGTCAAATATAAAGGTAGCCCATCGTATGATAGCGATTATCACTCTAATCTGGACACTTCATAGTATTCCATATTTCATCTTGTTTGATAAAGTATCGCCAACAAATACAGCTGTTTGTGTGCCGACCAATTCTATCTTTCTTCAATATCACACATTTGGTTATTTTCTCACTTACAATAGTGTTTTACCATTAATAGCCATTGTGTTCAGTTTGATGGCTTTTGTGAATGTTCGACAAGTGGCAGTCTATGTTTGTACTTACGTGGAATATTCTGTTGTTAGTGCAATATCAGCAATAAACACAGATCGAGATCCTGTTTATTTAGCAAAGATGAACTTAGCGAATGCTGTGACTTTGATTGTTTCTGTTTATAGTAATGGGGTGAGAAGAATAGCTGATGAAATGTTGTGTATTTGATTGATGAATGTTTTAGAGTTCATTTTACACATATGTTTGTGTATCTCAACGATTTCGTCGACAATTTTTGTATGTATTATACCGAATGTATGTCGTACGATGCTATAACAATCAAGTTACTCCAAGTAACACAGAAGCATGATCAATACACTATGATTGCATGTTGTGCGTTTTTGTGAATTGTGAAATTTCTTTGTACACAAATAAATACGATGTTTTCTGTTGTAAAGAAGGTTCCTTACTATGTATCGGAGCGAATGTTTGTCGCGAGCGGAGTTTATTAGTATTAAACAGAGAATATTATTAACATGACATAATATACTTTTTTCACTACATGGGAAGTATTGGATTAAGAGATGAAAAAAGAATAAATATTTTAAATCTTAGACAGACTTGTCAGATACAAATGATTTTATCGAACCTTCATTTTTGCGATGTTCCATATAAACAGATTTGTACAATACAAGCTTGATAATAAGTCGTGGTAAATTTGAATAGTAATTGATTTGTAATTGGACGATTTTGTTTCTTGAATACAAATGGTGGTGAAATCGTTGTTGTTCCCGAATAAAGACCAACATTAAATGATTCGATAAAATTTCTTGCATGCGAATCAGTGTAAACCTCGATATGTCGTGGATCATGCACGTCATCTCCCATGATTGTCAATTCAAATCCATGAATTTGATACATTTGATCAAATTTTAAAAGAAGATAATTGGGTGATGCTTCTGTAATAAGAAAAAAGAAATTTTCACAAATCTTTTATTTTCGATCTCTCTTTACTCATCGAATTCCAAAACCCATTGATTTTATCTCCATCATAACAACGATAAATTTCTCCTCCTGAATAATCCGTAGTACTACCAAATGGTGCAGATGCATGAATTATCTTGATTTCGGGTGGTAAATCGAAGAATTCTCAAATTGAAAATAACTGAAATTACTTGAAAATGGTAGAACGAAATTTTACCTTCTGGTAAATCATTCATAGCGAAATCTTCATAGATCTTCAATTATTTCAATTACAATTTGCTATTTATGTGATAAGAAAACTTACTGAAGTTCTTTTATGATTGACCGAATTTCTACAAAAAAAGATTTTCCTCATCAACTGACAAAGATATAAATAACCTCACCTAAGTTCTCTTAACACCTTTTTGAAAATGACTCGATCTCGAATACATGGGATAAGTTCTTTCTGTTCAACTTCCGTAAAATCTTCACTTAACAACGTTGTTCCATCGATCTTATTACCTTCAATGGCAATTGAAAGGCAAAACTCAAAGAAAAATGAATCCTTTACTTTCAAAATCATCAAAATACATGCTCAATCCATTTTGATTTAACCACTGCACGACCTGATCGGTATTCCAACTTGAAACATCCATCGAAATTTCTTTCTGTTAGAAATAAGTTTTGCTTCTCTTTTATATGTTGTTGTTGACAGAAGAACAAGTAACACGCACGTGTTTTTACTCCAAAGAAATTTCCAACTTCGATCATCAAAAGGAAAAACAAAACAAGATGAGTTTATATTTTCAGTTTGCTTATTTATTCAATTACACAAACAACAATAACGGAATGTCTAAAATGATTTGAAAGTTTAATTTTCATAAGAGGATGAGGAATAATCTTCGACAACAAGACCATGACAAAGTTGACAGTGATGAATCATCTGTTTCAGTTATAGTGTAGACCAATTTCTCTGCTGCGATTTGATTATCAATCATCTTTTTAAATTCATACTTAACGCCATTTAATCCACCAGATATTTTCGTGACTCGATTAAGCTTCACTAAGCCCTTTGGCAAAAAGTACGTTGATAATAATTTATAAAACTTCTCGGCAAATTATTTATCTTGTTGTCGTTGAGCATAAAATTGTCTAAAGAGATTTCTTTCGATTCCGAAAATTGTGTACAACAACACTGAATGTTCTTTTATATGTGTTGGTAATTCTGCTCTGATAAAAGGCAATACCGTCACTAATTGAGAATCTTTTCCAGTTAATGCTGCACAAATTTGTTTAGTTGAGTCAAATTCGGAGAAACAATCGAACGCATAAGTTAAATCACCATGTGTTGCTTGTTTTATTAACGAAACGACATTTGGATCTTTGTAATCAAAATAAATATCAGCACCGAGTCCTTTTAAATATTCATGACGTTGTGGTGATGCTATTGTGATGACATAACAACCGATTGATTTAGCTAATTAGATGACACATTGTCCAACACTTGTACTTCCTGCCCAAACGAGAATATCGATTTGAACATTGGCAGGTGGAAGTGATAATTTCATTTCATGGAAAATTCTAAGTGCGGCTGTGATGGATACAAGAGGAAAAGTAATAATTTGTTCGGGTAAGATTGTTGATGGAAAATGAAAAACCAGCGATGCTTCTTGGACAACATATTCAGAAAATGCTCCGCGGATATTCATTTCAGGATCGAGGCCCCCATGAACATAACCAGCAACACGTTCACCTCCCTTGTAATTACCTGGGACACTCAGTAAAAATTCTGGATCAAAACTAATGGTAAACTTGAACCTTTGCTCAAATTTCATGTAAAAAAAAGTCATTTTTTAGTGTTCGCAGATGGACGAAGAAGTCTTTTTTGATCAACATTAATTATTGAAAAAGCTGTCGGAAAGAATTATACAAAGAATGTCGTTGAATGACACTTAACATGTTTATTACTTATTCAAATGAGTCAAAAAAATATCAAAGAAACTCATTCACATATTTGATGATTTCATGAATACAAAGTCAATCCCTAATAAGTATCATCTATCGAATCAAACAAAACGACTTACCAACAGCCTCTTTACCATTTTCACAACTTTTCCAACGAAGTCACATCCAACGATGGAACCAGATTTAGCTAAACCAAATTGAACATGTTTTCAATCTGTTGGATTTTGTGCTGTATGAGTTACTTTGATTAAAAGCTCTTTCGGACCATACGAAGGCAACTGAACATATATGTTGTACAATATTCAATGAGAAAAAGGACATATCTTTTCGCCTTACGGGAAGTGTTTCAAGTGCAAGTTTTTTGTTTTCACGTACAACTAATCCGATCGGCATGATCCTTGTTAATAAAAAAGAAATGAGAAAGAGTCATGTCTAGTGTATTTGTTATATAAGCCTTATTTCGTCGTCGTCTTCTTCATCTTCACACATCATTTTTCTCTCCTACGACGCTTTCTACGCAAGAAAAAAAAAGAACAGAAAGAAAAATATAAATGAGAAACAATAAAATCACGTTTTGTTTCCAAAAATATCGGATAAAGAATCTCATCAAAAGATTTGTTTTCCCAAACTTGTCATCAAAATCTTTTCACAACTAATATGTCACAAAACTGTCTTGGACAACTTTTTCATTTATGAAAAGATTCGAACAGCAAACTGTTATAGCGTTGATGAACTCGAGTGAATCTCTTGACTCTTATTAATTAATTTCTTTATCTCGAGTTTCAGATTTTCCGAGTAGAACAAGTATAATAAAATAACATCTTGTCTAACAATGAAATCTCTTTTTATCTCTTTCAAATCTCGAACAGAATTGCGTCGAGAGACATTATTCCATAGAAAGCTTTATTTCTTATAAAAGAATTCGTTAAAATCTTTCCGTGTAAAACAAGAAGAATGAATACCAATGTGTCTACAACAACAATTGATCCATCTGTCAGTCGTTAAGTCGCTGCTCGTATTGGACTTCAACAAATCGGTCAGGCGATCTTATTCATTCTCGGAACGATTGGTCGTTTCTTAAACATTTGCATCTTTGTTCGTCAATCCATGCGAAGTAACTCTTGTGCAATGTATTCTCACATAAGTTGATGGGCGAATCTATTTTGTTTAACTTAGGGATTATTTATCGGAATGTTGGGATTTTTTACAAACTATTACTCAGTTGGTTACAATTCGATTCTTTGTAAAACCCGATACTATCTTCTAACAGCATGTCAATTGATTAGTCGAGGTTGTATTGTCATGGCATGTCTTGATCGATTTCTTTTATGTTCACAAAATGTTCAACGTCGAGCGTTTTGTCAAAGAAAAGTCGCACTAAAAATGATCTTTCTCATTATATCGACATGTTTATGTTTGTCAATCTATGTTCTCATTGTTTATGAGCCTAATTCTGCGATTGGAAGAATTATCGATACGACGGTTTCATTTGTATTTAATTTCGGCATTCCGGCAGTATCAATGAGTTCACTCAGTGGATTGATCATATGGAAATTAAAACAAAATTCGCAAAGATTTGCTCAACAAAGAGTAAATCTTTCGAATCGATTGCATTTTCTGAGAAATGTTCTTTAAGATTCACGTACGCAAACGAGATGTTCAACTCTCTGCGATGCTGATTGGACAAGTGATTTTATACATTGTCACCGCACTACCATTTGTGTCTAATTTTGTTTATTTATCAATAATACAGTATGATCGACCATCAATGAGAACACCTTATCGAAATGCTGCAGAAAATCTAGCAACAGTCGCAACTGGCGCGTTCGTAACTTATGTCTTCAATGCTGTAAGAACTCTTTTTTGTTTTTGCTCGATTTCGATTTGACGTTTGATGAAAATTTTAGATGAATTTCTATATTTATACATTAACAGTGTCGAGTTTTCGTCGTGAATTGTTTGCAATGATTATTCCAAGCCAACCTTCAAACTATCGAACTTGAATCTCGAAGGATGTGACGAGAGAATCTATAAACAGTTGTATAAAGGTCGAGTTCTCGAAATTCATGTAAAATAAAACGTGATTATATCAATAGAAAAGTTCGTCTGCAATGCACTTTTCTCTAATGAAAAAAGAATTAAAGAAGGGAATTTTTAAGTCTTTGTTTCGTATTTTTAATTTCCTGAGAGATTCGATGTGTATAAATATGACACAAATAATAAATGCAGAAATAGAACGTTCGTATTTTTCAATCCCAGTTTCAAAGTGAATCTATGCCAAGATTGATCCAAGTTAGTAAAGGTATTGTGAAAAATCCATTGAATGTGACGAAGAGAAAACGACGATCAAAACGTCATTCAAAGAAGAATGTTGACCGACAGTACAATTCATTTGATTTACATGAGCAATCAAGAATTTCTTCACAAGTAGAGAATTCACTAGATGTTACAAATAGGGATTGTCATCTTTGATTTTGTAGTCTATTTTACGTAATTCGGTACCCTCAAAAGTTTCTCCTGTTGAAGAAAGAATTATCATTCTTGAGCGACAAACTAAACCTCGAAGGTCGGTTTTATTGAATAAAATTTCACTAAATCTCATCTTTTTCATAGATTTTGTAAATATTCACGACGCTGTTGGCTTGTTTCGGCTGGAGTATTACTTGGTACAACAGTTGTTTTAGGCCTCATTGCTACAGGCATAGCAACCAGTTTAAGTAAACGCTTGTCTTGAAAATTCTTTGAACTTTTCATTTGAAATGACATCATAGTGTCAACTAGTACTCCAAGAACGACAGACACAAGTAAATTTCTTGTTCGCGTGTATAGAAACTTCCTTCTGACTATATCCAGCAACTACATCGACTAGCACTACGACAACCACGGACACAAGTTTGATAGATTAATATACTTAATTCCAATCCATTCTATTGTCGATATTCATAGCTACAACAACAACGAGCACAAGCACTTCTACAACTTCTCAAACAACGACAAGTGAATAGATTCAATTTTTTCTTTTGGTTCATTGTGCATCACATTCTATTGTTCAAATTCTTCATTTCAGCCTCGAGTTCAAGTAGTACAACCTCAACCAGTTCCACAACCTCAACTGCCACGAGTTCTACGAGCGATACAACTTCAACTGCTACAACGGTTATAAGTAAATAATCACAAAACTCTGGCCTACCAAAATAATTTCTATATTTCAGTTCCAGTTCCATGTGTTGCAACTGCATCTTTCACAGGTCCATCCACATTAAAAACGTTATCAAATGGAGTTTCGAGCTATAAGTGTTANCAATGACACCAACAATGATTTCGAGTAACATAAATGTAAAATAAAGAATTGAAATAAAAGTGAATTGAATAATCATTCGTTTCTGACGACACCGCAATCAATAATTCGTCTTCGTTGAAGTTTTTGTTGAATAACACGGAAGAAAAGACAAAGATTGACAACGAAAATCACAAACATTGGCGAAGCATAATGAAATAACCAATCAAAAGTACCTAAAAATGCGGCACATAAGAATAACATGCACCTAAACAAAAAATCAACGTATAATCCGAAACATTTTCGCATTGATTTGGATAGAAAATCGCAATGAAATAAAAGATCGGACCATAAATCAAACAAACAACCAATGGAATATAATGAAATATGAATAAATGTCTCTGTAACGAACACAATGTTATTAGAAACGCACTCATACTAGTAATAGGAATTCAGAAGTTTATCTTATCTTTATTTTTATCTTGATACATAGGAGATCTTCTACTAGATGTTTGGACATATAGTTATCATCATGGTTAAAGAGGAAATCAAATAGTTTAACGGCAGAATAGTGGAGCATTTATAGGAAGATGTAGGTTCGATTCCTGATTTGATTTCACAATCTGTCCGAAAAAGTTTCTTATCCTTGTTTGAGCATGTCGCTTTGAATATATCTACTGAAATATCGTATGTACTTGTGGATGTATGAAATGATTGCTGTTACCAGAATTTCTTCTTATCCTATTTGGAAACTTGCCCTTGCCTGCAAGATTTGATCTGTAAACATACGCATGACCCTTTACGCAAAAAGTGTAGAGTATACTCTCCCGAGTCAGATCATCAGCGTTGTTCAATTTCAAAAATATTGAAGTGTGTGTATTTATTAAAGTTCTGCATACGCATTACTAATAATGAAAAGTTTAAAGAGCTGCCTCATAAAAATTGTATTGATAATTCGCACTACATATTGTTCATACTTGTTCGCAGGACCATCTTAAAACCATTGGTGTGGACTTGAATTTTCTTCTTGCAGTTGTTGTGAAGTCGTATATGACTGTTGTTTTGATAGCATTTCCTAAATACCAAGAAGCTCAACCGTATCGTCGCTGTGTAAGTAAATTCAGAACACGGTTAGAAAAATTTGGGACTTTCCTTCTGACATGTTCTCAGGTGAAGCAAATCTAAAATAGTTCTCCATCTCATTCTAAGACCCAATCGTTTTGACTATATTTTCAATAAGGACGTAGAGAAAAGGAATNACTTCATCTCGAATCAAGTCATACTGGAAATGAGGATCAATCGAAAATGAATAACACTAATCCTTTTATTTTAGTTTTTTTATGAGATAAATTTAATAAAACTGGTAATATTCTTTTGCTAAGTTTATTTTTACATATATGTATCGAATGCTATCCTATTTATCAGCTCTACATATGTTGAATTTTATCGATTATATTGCGCAAGATACTAACTATATAGTCATAGTTATATAATGTGTTCGCCCTGCAGGGCAGGGCAAAAAAAGTGCTCTGTGGACAACTCTGTTCCTTAGTGAAATCTTTATGATTCACATATGTGCACACGTATTTTAGCCTCGGCTGTATTGTGAATGTTATAGAAAGCAAATACAAAGTATTTAAGTGATGAACATTAGTTGCACGGCTTATGCTTCTAATTACGTATAGATAAAAATGACATCATTTAATAAGGAAAAGTCTTCTGAAGAAAAAAAACGATGCCATGGTCAATAAATAGAATGATTAAAATATAAAATTCTAGTTTTTAAGTTTAGTTTTCTTCTTAGAAAAGAACTTTTGGGGCCGACTCTGAATGAGTTTGATTACTCTTCAATGTTTGTATCCATGCATTTGTTATATTAATAGCTTGACAAATGAAGAATAATGATGGAAGAGGAATAAATCCTAATAAGAAAAAAGTAAATTTTATCCAATTATATGATCTATCTTTGGTATGTTCGTAACTTGCATTCCAAATGAATGCAGCATATAGAATTCCTAAGAAGAGATGTATCATGATAAACCATGGTTGAATATTATTTAATAAATGATGAACTGTACTACTGAGGTAATGTTCCTTCCAAATATGTAGATAAAAGAACCAAAAGATATTATTTGAAATAGGACACATACCAAAGAAGAATAAATTTTCATAATTATTAATAAGTTGCACAAGAATTTTCGATGTGTTTGTGCGAAAATTTTCATAACGTTTGATATTAAAGATATTTAATAATAATTCATAAAATAAATAATAAAATTCATAAAGAAATAAATTCCAACGTGATGTTTGATTCCAAAGTATTTGAAAACTTCCAATAAATGAATTAATATCTGTTGGAATCTGATTATCGCATGGAAGAAAAGTATGTTTGACAACAAAACGTTTTTCATCTAATATTGCTAACTTGTTGCACATATGTATATCTTCCTGTACTAAATCACTATCCCAAAAATCAATTCTTTTTAATAATTCTAATGGAATATGATATTCACTAACGAATGCACGAACATAACCAAGAAAGTAAAAATGTCCATGAGTACCTATTGAACGAAGAACAGACACCCAATTACTCAAGATATGATTCAATGAAAAATGTTGAAAATTAGTGATATTTGGTACATAAGCAATATAATTGAAATTTTTCATATTGTTTTGTTTACACAAATAGTTTAAATATAGAAAATAATCATTTACCCAAATTGAATCACAATCGCATACAGTTACCATTACATGATTGTAGAGAAATTTTAAATTCATATGATTTTCTTCATAAAATTTGATTAATTGTCGAGCATTATAATTACAATTCGATGCTTTACCAGGTATTTCATTTTTTAAATTTATTGGATGTATTGTTTTAATTATTTTAATAAAGTGATTTTCATATTTTTTTATGATATCATCGTATTTTACATTACTATTCGTTTCTCGTTCTTCTAATCCGAAGCCTATAATCATTGGAACATTTTGCTTTATTAATGATTTTAATGTATTTTCCACAATGTTCGGATTTTCTTTGTAGATAGGTATGATAACCATGTGTAATATTTCTTCATTGCTATTATTTATTCCTATTCGTCGATTTTCAATATAATTGTTCTTTTTTTCACTCCAGTTTTTGCTTCGAAAAAATTCATAAATAATTTTCTGCTGTTTCATAAAAATAGTAAAACAAGTTCCATATGTTAATAAGTGACTGATAATAATATAAATTGATATGATAATATTATAAATAATAGTAGCATGTGGAAAATAATGTATTGTAATAAATGGAAATACAATTGGAAACCATATTAATATGCTACACATGATTTTGATTTTTAAAGGTACTGTATGTGTGCCGTTATTGTTGTATGTATCCATTAAGTTGAATAAAATCTAAAGAATAATATATTGAAGATCCCATTATTTCTAGTTGGATGTGTTGCTACCATCACAACAGTGTTCTATACTACAGTCTGTGCCAATATTGGCGCATAATCGAAATGCTTTTCGAAATATTACCATATGTGCTTGTAGTATTATTTTCGTGTTGATTAAGATGAGAAATGACTATTTTCCACTTCGCTGATTTTACTTTTCACCTATTTCGTTACTCTCTCAATTGTCTTCTCTTGGTTACTTCTTTTGACGAAAAGCCTTCTTATTGATATACTATTTTCTCCAGTTTATTCGCAAGTAGTATCAGCAATTCTATGATAATCATCGTAGTGAAATAAAAATACGAAAAATTCGATTTCTTTCAATATAGATATGCCGTATGTAACTTTGCCCGTATCTCATCAAAATGTTACACTCTACTATGAAGTACATGGATCGGGCCCAATCAAAATCCTGTTTATCATGGGTTTGTGGACTGAAGGGCGGTCTTGGAAATATCAAGTGAGGAACACTATCAATAAAAGATATCGTAGGTAGTTTTTCTTTCTTTCATAGACTGATTATTTTTCTACGCAATCGTATTATCAGGTGGGTGAGATGATTATGAATTATATATATATGCTTATAACTCGAATAGTGTGTGACTTATGATAATCGTGGCTGTGGTCGATCATCGGCACCGAAAACACTCGAATATACAACCACTCAAATGGCCAAAGATGCTCTGACATTAATTGAACATTTGCATTGGAATCAATGTCATGTTGTGGGCTTTTCCCTTGGAGGCATGATTGCACAGGAGCTGGCCCTACTAGCACCTCGAAAAATACTATCACTCACTCTTATAGCTACGCATGCGGGCGGCCTCATCAGTCGACCACCGTTTGCTGCTCTTCGTTTTTTTCTACAATGGTTTCTAATCCGCAACAAAGATCAACTTGTTAAAAATATGCTTCGTGTATTTTATGGTAAAAAGACATTAAACGATCCTGAGAAACGACAGGCGAGTCAGGAGTTGATGAAAAATAAGAATTGTACATTCATCTTCTAGCAATTCTACAATGATTGGTGGGAGAAAATGGAAATTCGAGTTCCATTGTCCGTAATTGGAGCTTTTGGTCAAATATTAGCCGTTCAACGACATTACATAAGTTATTCTGAGCTATTAAAACTTCGATATTCAAATATACCGTGTACGATTATGGTGGGAGCCGAAGATCAAATCATTCACAAAGTGAATTCTTATATGCTACAAACGGTATATTCTCGTTCGTCTCATCCAAGTGACTCTTATGTATTTTTACTAGATACTGGGATGTAAACTCGTTAAATTCGAGCTTGCAGGACACGACTTGATCAGTGAACATGCTCAAGAAATTAATAGAGAACTGTTGGGTATGTAGAAGAGAAAGATCAACAATGATGAGAGAATGGAAAGTTATTTCCTACTTAGAATTGTGTGAATCAAACTTTGCTAAAAACTACTCATCACACATGCCAATGAAGTATGAAGTAGAAGTTCAAACGCTCAAACTATGTTGTCAACATCGAATCCATTGCTTTACCTATAGTTGCATTGGTTTTTCTAAGGTTTCATTTAAAAAAATCTGGTATTGTATTTCAATTCGAAGTTATTTTCTAGGGTTTACTTATCGGGCTAATACTTTATTTTGGTTTGATCCAAAACTTGACAGTGAGTGAACAAATGAATGCTAAACTGTTCACTCACTGTGTGATGTTTATTGGGTGTCTAAGGTACGAATATTAAACTGTGTTTTTATTTTTCTCTCTACGTGTTTAACAGTGGCCTCCATCGAACCGTTTCATGCATCTTCAATGCATTTCAAGCACGAAGATTTGCTCAAAGACACCAAGTATTCCTCGGTCCAGCTGCCTCTTCTCATATCAAAAATGCTCTACTCAATGAATGCGGTTTGGAGTTTCCTACACTGTCAATCATCTGCTTTACCTCCTTCCTCAGCCTTCTCTGGTGGACGAAACTATATGCTTAACAATTCAGTTTATTTGTAATTTGCTGACTCGTACATATTCTTGACGCATATTTTCCATATATCACCCTTAATCGGTTTCATTTTTAGCGCATAAATATTTACTTCCAGTATGAATAAAACGAAATTCTTCAAAAGGATGTCGATCTTTACTTTTACTTGAAAGAATGATTCGTCAAGCAGATGTAAGTGTAATAGTGTAATGCACGCAGAAATTGCGTTGCGATCACTCAAAAAGAGGCGATACGGATCTTAATGACTTGCGAAAAACGTAAGAAAAACTCTTTATTACCAGCTATATTTTGGAAAAAAGCTCAAGTATATAAGTAGAAAATTAATGGAAATATTCGCATAATACTAGGAGTTTATTTTATCTATGTCACGTGGTCAGTATTATTTATTAATCATCCTACTTTTATCATAATAAACGGATCAAAAGAAAATAAATGATAACCTTCACAGCGGATGATTGCATGTATAAAACAATATATACATTAAATACAGAGAAAAAGAAAAAAAAATGCGTTGAATCAGTATTCGACAGGTAATCAGGTATATTTTCGCTCATTAAAGATAAATCACACGCGCACTACGTGACGATTCGTGACAAACGACGCAAAATCCAAAGAGTAGCAAAAAGAATAGTCAAGAAAGAAAAAGATCATATCGATCTACTTCTAGGAAGGCAGTTGAAAAGTGTTTGTTAACTGATAGAATAAGGTTCGAAAGAAAATGTATACTACAAAAAAGAATTTCGATCATGAAGACACGTAAGTGTTTTTCAAAGTATGAGTAATCGGTATACTTTTTTTTTGCAAAATTAATCATCGAATAGAGTAACTTCACAGCACATTGAAGATAATCCGAAGAAAAACAACATTGCCCAGAATTTAACTGAAATCAAAACATTAAGCTTGAAAAAATTGGTAAGACATTAATGATGAGATTGTTCTAGTTTAAAGCTTTATGCATATTATAGTTTCGGTATGCCACCTCGATCGATATTGTATTCATGATGATCGGTACAGTCGCTGCTTTGGTACACGGTAGCGGATTACCACTTCTTATTTTAATATTCGGTCATGTTCTCGATTCTTTTACTGACCAAGCGAAAACTATATGTTCAATCAATGTCACTAGTCTTTCTCAACAATATTGTCCAGATTCTATGGAATTTACTTCAATAAATATCGGCACGCTTATCTCGTAGGATTTCATCGATAAATCACAAACTCTCTTTTTCTCTAACTCTTTTACTTCAGACAATGCAATATAACTTATGCTAATTTTACTCTCAGTACATCTATGTTAACGGATACAATCCAAAAACAAGTACTATATTTAGTAGCTGTCGGTTGTATCATAATTGTAGTTGCTTATGTTCAAGTATCCTTTTGGATTATGTCTGCAGAAAATCAGAGTCGAGCCATTCGACAGACTCTTTTCCAGAATATTCTTCATAAAGATATGTCTTTTTTTGATACGCATAAAATTGGTGAACTTGACGCTCATCTGTCACAATCAGTATCAAAAATTCAAGACGGTATTGGCCACAAAATTGGCACACTAATACAGTTTCTTGCTTCGTTGATCACTGGTTTTATAATCGGTATCTTCAATGATATGATTAGGAATGAATTATATTATTATAGAATTTTAGGATTCTCCACTGGATGGAAGTTGTCTTTCGTTATTCTTTCAACCGTTTCCTTTATTTTTCTTCCAGCTGCTTTCTTCTCATGGGTAAGTTGTGTTAATTTGGAAGATAACCTTAGACCAAGGCATGATATTCAGCTAGCTACTCGTTTGACGATGGTAGAGTTGCAAGCAAGTGGAAAGGCAGCAGCAGTGGTCGAAGAAGTATTAAGCTCGATCCGCACAGTTTTTGCCTTCAACGGACAAGATTATGAGATAAAACGGTCTGATTAACACTTATTGTTATATTATGTGGAAAAGATCACTTTTCCAGGTATGGAAAACATTTGGAAGCAGTGAAGAAAAGTAGCATTAAAAAAACAATGACCACCAGTGCGACGATGAGTTTTGTATGGCTGATTATCTATTGTACCTATGCATTAGGTATGATATGATACGTTTACAGCATCATACAAGTATCATTCTAGGTTTCTGGTACGGTGCTAAACTAGTTCGAGACGGTGAATATACTAGTGGTCAAGTGTTTACCGTAAGTGACACATTATCTGTGCTTATCGATAATTGATTTCTATTCGTAGACCTTTTTCGCAATTATAATCGGTATCTTTCAGTTGGGTCAAGCTGCACCTCACATCCAAGCTCTGGTACAAGCACGAGCGACTGCTTTCATAGTCTGGCAGCTAATTGATGCGGTAAAGTAATGAAATGATACTCATGACATAACTATTTAACAATATCTATAATAGCCATGTACAATTATCTCGAATAAAAAGATAGGTTTGACTAAAAAGTGTTTAATGGGCGATATTCAATTTTCTGAAGTGTGCTTTCGTTATCCATCTCGACCAGATACATTAGTTCTTAATAGAGTCTCGTTTGATATCAAACCAGGCCAAACGATTGCACTTGTTGGCTCTTCTGGTAGTGGAAAATCAACATGCGTTCATTTACTCACGCGATTCTATGATCCTCATGCGGGATCGATAAAGATTGATGGCATATCAATAAAGGATTACGATTTGGAATGGTTACGACAACAGATCGGTGTAGTTAATCAAGAACCAATATTATTTCATGGTACTATTCGTGATAATATCTTGCTTGGTAAGCAAACAGCCACTGATCAAGAGTTAGAAGAAGCAGCAAAAATGGCAAATGCTCATGATTTTATCATGAATCTTCCGCAGGTTGGTTATGACACTAGAATGAATGTTTTCTGGAAATTTTGATCGTTACAATATTCCTTCGTAGAAATATGAAACTCAAGTAGATGCAAGAGGTGCAACACTTTCTGGTGGTCAAAAGCAACGAATTGGTACGATCGATTCATAAGTTACTTAATGTACCTTTTTTCTTTAAGCTATCGCCAGAGCATTGATAGGAAATCCACAAATCTTACTTTTAGATGAAGGTTAGTTGCTTGCATGTTTGTTTGTTATTAACTATGGAATATCTGTCAATTTCGCGTTAGCTACAAGTGCGTTAGATAATGAAAGTGAAAAGGTTGTGCAAGAAGCTCTTCGCCGTGCTGCTGAAAGTGAGCATCGAACGTATCTAATCGTTTCTCTTTGATTTTTATATCATTAGATCGTACCATGCTCATCATTGCTCATCGTCTCTCTACCATTAGGGATGCAGATAAAATTGTAGTGATGCATCAAGGTGCAATTGTTGAAGAAGGTACACATGCATCTTTGACTCGTTTGCAAGGCATTTACTATAATCTAATTAAACAAAATAAATTGTCTGAAACGAGAGATATTTTGGAGCATCATGTGTACATGAACGATGAGAGTAAAGAAAAGCGCACTTCTGATATGATTCCTTCGAAAATAATGGTTGAAGAAGAAGTGATGAATCGAACAACGGTTAGAGAAAATACTATTTGGACAATACTCAAAATAAACAAGCCTGAATGGTTACTTCTCTTATTTGGATCTTTGATAGCTTTTATCAATGGAGCTAATCAACCTATTGGAGGTATTCTACTGAGCAAAATGTTTTCGGTGCGTATTTATTATTCGTATCAATAATTGAAAAAATCTAGCATTTTCTTCTATGATCAGATCTTTCAAGAATGCAGCAATACAGTACAAGAGCAACGAGTTCTCACAATCATTCTGTTATTGCTTGGATTGGGAGTTTTCACTCTTATTGTTATGTCTCTACAAGTAAGCTGTGAAAGAAAAGTGATCTTTTCTCCCTAGTTTTCTGTTTTCGTAGAATTATTTATTTATTCGATCGGGTGAAGCATTGGTTGAACGATTGCGTCTAAAATTATTTGATGCTCTTCTTCATCAGGAAATTGCTTACTTTGATGAACCAGAGAACAATACAGGCGCACTATGTAACCATCTTGCCAATGATACATCCGCTGCACAAGGTGTCATCGGTATTTATCTTAGTGTTATGTGCCAAAATGCAGGCGCGCTTGGTGTTGGACTTCTACTTGGTTTTGTCTTTTCGTGGCAGTTGACTTTACTTGTCATAGGATTCTTACCATTGAACATTCTTGGAGGCCTTCTTCAAAGTCGTCTTATGACCGGTTTCGAGCGAACAAATAACGAAGCCTTGGTCGAATCATGGAAGGTGAGAAAAAAGGATCTTTTTTCTTCTGGATCATTTACCATAATATTCATTTTAGATCTCATTGGAAACTATTCAGAATATTCGAACTGTAGTACAACTAACTAAAGAAAAATATTTCTATGAACAATATCAACAATGTCTCGATACTTCGTATCGGTAATCTAGTTTATCTAACTTATTGTTGTATTTTATATAGATTGTAGATCATCCATAAAACGAGCACATATCTTTGGTTTATTTTATGCTTTGAGTACTTCTACCTTCTTTTTTACTTTGGCAGCTCTCTTTGCTCTTGGCGCTTTCTTAGTTGAAAAAGATCAAATCACATTGGAAGATGTTCTTTTGTAAATATAAAGATTTCTCTTCGATGATGTTACAAGTATGAATTGTTCCTATGTCATAGAGTTTTTAATTGCATTGTCTTTGGTGCACAAAGTATTGGTCAAAATGTATCGATGTAAGATTGGTGTCAGTTGTGACGTAGTTCCATCGATTCATATTATGTATTTCAGGGTTCTTAATTTTGGACCAGCAAAGAGAGCAGCTAAGAATATTTTAGATGTACTTACTCGACAACCTATTATCGACAATCGATCTTCTCATGGAGAACATCTTGTAAGTCGATTGTTTTTACTTGATTTATTTATCGATGAATTAATTGCGAGAAATTATTTGTGTTCTAGACGAATTTTCAAGGACAGATTGAGTTCAATCATTTATATTTTACTTATGCTAGTCGATCTGAAGCGGTTATTCTACAAAATTTCAACCTTAATATCGAACCAGGTACATAAGAGGCATTTTTTCGATCGAAATGTTGTTTGTATTATTTTATAGGCCAAAAAGTGGCACTCGTTGGTATGTATTTCACATTGAAAGATCGAAGTATTATTGATTTGTATAGGCACATCGGGCTCAGGGAAGTCAACGATTATTCAGTTACTCGAACGTTTCTATGACGCAACTGCCGGCAGTCTCGTATGTTTTCTTCTCTCTTTATCATATGTCAATTAATTTTTTCTTTTCATTTACAAGTTAATTGATGGAACAGATATTCGCAAACTCGATCTTCAATGGTACCGATCACAAAGTAAGTATTCATAAGTGTTAGTGGTAATGAGCGTCTTCGCTACTGTTTCTCTCTTCCTATGTATATGTATGTGTGTGTTTGACACAGTGTACGAGGCTGATTTATCCTCTTTGCTCTTTTTGATATACATCACTCCAGAACCCTGCAGACAGGCTCACAATAAGTGTTCTTCAATCGAAAATTTATTCTTTTCTTTTTAACAGTTAGTTTAGTTTCTCAAGAACCTGTTCTCTTCGATATGTCTATTCGAGAGAATATCGCTTATGGTGATACGAGTCGAGAAAATATTTCTCTTGAAGAAATTATTCAAGTTGCACAAAAGACAAACATTCATGAATTCATACAACAATTACCAGAGGTCAGTATCAACTGTAGTATCTCGATATTTTGCAACATGCCTATTGAAGGGTTATGAGACACAATGTGGTGCTAAAGGAATCCAACTATCAGGTGGTCAAAAGCAACGTATCGGTAAATCTTCTTTCTTAATATATCTATTGTATTGTGTAATGATTGATCCTAGCTATTGCTCGAGCATTGATTCGAAATCCGAAGATCTTGCTGCTAGATGAAGGTAGTCTGATTCGGTGTAATTCGAAGTATATATTGTGATCTTCTATCTAGCTACCAGTGCTTTGGATACTCAGAATGAACAAATCGTACAGGACGTATTAGAACGTGCGCAAGAAAACCGTACTTCAATTTGTATCGCTCATCGGATGTCTACAATTCAAAATGCTAATCTGATTTGTGTTATACACAACGGTATTGTCGTGGAAAAAGGTACACATCGAGAATTATTGGCACTTCAAGGTCATTATCATCGTTTAGTTGAGAAGAAACTCAATTAACGGAAAACCATAAACTGTTGCTTATTTGTACACTGAAATTAAGCATGCATAACTATTATTTATTTCAGAAATATGATTCTTTAAATTGACACGACAACATAAATTCAGTTGTGAGAGTGTTATAGTTTTATTTCAATTAACTAGGCCTGCGACAGTTCAAGATTAAAAGAACTCTAATGGCGAATGAGCTCCTACTCAGAGAACTTGAAATTAACTTGTAGATTGCAAACTCTGCTATCGTAATGTTTATGTTTTTTATTCGTTCCTTAAGGCGGTTGATATTAAAGAGATATGTATGATCTAATAAGAATCTGCTAGATTTTGAGATTAACAATATGGAAATCGTTAAATGTAAGAGACAAACGATTTTTACGTAGGGCGTAATTCGAGACCGAGAAAGCGCTTTCATTTGGAACACTAGTTGCTGATACTGACAAGTATTTCTTTGTTTTTATGGCCAACAAAGGCATTATATTTGGGTGTGCTTGCCAAAAAGCGGTGAAGTCCTCCTTGCGATTTCTTCTTGGATAGTCAATACACGAGATTGATCAATGCTATCGACAGTTGGGTTGACTCCGCACTTCGTTAAAAATTTCTTCAGCATTGTGTTGCTTTTCGACGACATGGATTGCGATGTGACTGATGAAGCCGGAGTGTTTGATGTTAAGTTTTGATTGATCGTGTTCGCCTTTTGGTACTTTTCTTATTTCATTCAACAAAATCTTCTCAGCTCTTTGTTTGTGTTCCGATGACAACATGTCGTGAACGAGTGGGTCCAAAAACGCTGCGCAGAACAGCATGCTTAGTTTCGAGCTCTGGCAAGATGTACTCGTTGAATCTTGCGACCATATTCTCCTTCACTGCGTTCTCAGTCGCATCACCCGTACGATCGTTTAAATAATTGTTTAGTGAGTAAATCACTGGATATGCTAAAGATAAAGTTTGTTAAGATCTCCCCGAGAGAATTTCTGTGGCGTCGTTGAACCGCTCTAAAACTCGGCGAAGCGCCTGTAGTATGTTCCGGTTAATACTTGCGAGTTTCGATTCAATGAGTTTCTTTTCGTCATGAGAACATCGAAATCTTGTAAGCCTAATGCCACGACCTCCGAATCAGACCAATCATCAGCATTATCGAGGTCTTGGACACCATCGTTATCTTCCCGTTGTCTAATCCGTACATAGCCAATACCGTGCGAATATGTCGCCGTAGACGCATAGCAAAGCTTCTCCCGTGAAATTGACGGAAGCTCAGAATAGTCCCACGTTGTTCGTAGTCCGATGAAACGAAGCGAGCTGTAATGCATAAATAATGGCGTTTCCGACCACTGCGCCAGGTGTCAGTCGTAATGGAGACGTGTTAAATCTTTTTCAACTGCTGTATCAGTGCCTTCAAATTCCTCTGAACTGTCCGAGCAGTAGGACCTTTGTATCCCGGCATTGCAACTTGCAGGAAAGACTGCATGCCAGCACGACGAAAGTCTCCAAATGAATGAGAATCCAAAATAATGGCTTTGATGGCAGCATCATCGAACTTCCGTTTTTTCTCTGGGGCGATCGAATCAGGATTGCGTGGCACTTGGCTTTTAGAGTACAAATTCGTTTTCCCATGAGCATTCGCTAAATGGCGACGGATGTTGGCATTTGTCCCTGTTCCACAGTGGTACGTCTTGGAGCATAATTTACACTTGTATTCATTTGGTGACAGTTTATCCGCAAACTGACTCACAATCGATGATTTGGACGATGGTCTACCCATTCGTATGGTCTCTGAGGATAGAGTTCACTCTCAATCGTATCTCAGCTTAGACGAAAAATGCATCCATTTTATACATCATCAAGACGGCATTGGACGCCAAGAAGGGAATAGTGTGATGCATCACATTTGAAAAAAAACCATTGTTATTCGAGTGTATGATCAAGGGATTATCCATTTCGATATCATGTCCATCTGATGAATGATATATTTATGTACTAGTCATCTGAATGCTCACTAGTTTGTTTCCCTTGCTTTTTTCGGACAGTCCTACGAATTCATCCCAATCCGCTGCTCGAAACGGGAGATGATTGTTTTAGGCGTTGCAGAAAGGATATATCCCCTCCTACCACGGATTTATCCACATGAATCATGAACGCGGTCTTCCATCCTACGTTTTTCTTTCTCTTTCTGCTCGTATATTTCGATTATGAATGTATCTCCATCTTTTGTCCATCCTTTCCTCTTCAACTTTCGCCGTGGTTCAGCTATCAATCACTTCACCTCAATAAGAAATCTATTTTTGCAAGAAGTATTTCAATAGCTTCAACAACAGTTCATTTCTAGTTCTTTGAGTAGAAGTTTATTCACCATTACAGTTCTTTTAAACTTGAACTGTCGTAGGCCAAGTGTGGACAGACACTGGATTGAAAATGCTATTCAAATCGACTCAACAATCTTGCTCACAGATCATCCTGAAGTATTGTCTTGTGCGCGTATACATGGCGTTGAGATGATGACTTGTTCTCAAGTTAGATGTTTTCTCTAATGAGCTATTTTTCGGAGGATGAAATAAGGAAATGAAATAGATGGAGCAGCACGGAAAATCTTGAGGGTTCAGTGTATTCAGAAAATGATTGTTAGATCTCTTTGTTCCTGCCGGTTTTCGCATGGAAGATTACTGATGGAATTTGTTGGAGTTTTCTTCAAGAGTTTCTGGCCTGAAAATAAGTACAGATGTTTGTGTGCCGACCAGTTCTATCTTTCTTCAATGTCACACATTTGGTTATTTTCTCGCTTACAATAATGTTTTACTATTGATAGCCATTGTGTTCGGTTTGATGGCTTTTGTGAATGTTCGACAACTGGCACATCGAACAATTCCTCTTGTTCACCGTGAACTCGAAAAACAATTGACAGTGATGGTTCTTGTTCAAGTGGCAGTCTATGTTTGTACTGACGTAGGATATTCTGTTGTTAGTGCAATATCAGCAATAAATACAGATCGAGATCCTGTTTATTTAGCAAAGATGAACTTAGCGAATGCTGTGACTTTGATTGTTTCTGTTTATAGTAATGGGGTGAAAAGAATAGCTGATGAAATGTTGTGTATTTGATTGATGATTGTTTTAGAGTTCATTTTACACATATGTTTGTGTATCTCAACGATTTCGTCGACAATTCTTATATGTATTGTACCGAATGTATGTGGTGCGGTGCTATAACAATCGAGTTACTCCAAGTAACACAGAAGTACGATCAATACAATATGATTGCATGTTGTGCGTTTTTGTGAATTTTCTTTGTACACAAATAAATACGATGTTTTCTGTTGTAAAGAAGGTTCCTTACTATGTATCGGAGCGAATACTTCTCGCGAGCGGAGTTTATTAGTATTAAACAGAGAATATTATTAACATGACAGAAGATACTTTTTTCACTACAAGGGAAGTATTGGATTAAGAGATGAAAAAAGAATGAATATGTTAAATCTTAGACAGACTTGTCAGATACAAACGATTTTATCGAACCTTCATTTTTGCGATGTTCCATATAAACAGATTTGTACAATGCAAGCTTGATAATAAGTCGTCGTAAATTTGAATAGTAATTGATTTGTAATTGGACGATTTTGTTTCTTGAATACAAATGGTGGTGAAATCGTTGTTGTTCCCGAATAAAGACCAACATTAAATGATTCGATAAAATTTCTTGCATGCGAATCAGTGTAAACCTCGATATGTCGTGGATCATGCACGTCATCTCCCATGATTGTCAATTCAAATCCATGAATTTGATACATTTGATCAAATTTTAAAAGAAGATAATTGGGTGATGCTTCTGTAATAAGAAAAAAGAAATTTTCACAAATCTTTTATTTTCAATCTCTCTTTACTCATCGAATTCCAAAACCCATTGATTTTATCTCCATCATAACAACGATAAATTTCTCCTCCTGAATAATCCGTAGTACTGCCAAATGGTGCAGATGCATGAATGATCTTGATTTCGGGTGGTAAATCGAAGAATTCTCAAATTGAAAAAATAACTGAAATTACTTGAAAATGGTAGAACGAAATTTTACCTTCTGGTAAATCATTCATAGCGAGATCTTCATAGATCTTCAATTATTTCAATTACAATTTACTATTTATGCGATAAGAAAACTTACTGAAGTTTTTTTATGATTGACCGAATTTCTACAAGAAAAGATTTTCCTCATCAACTGACAAAGATATAAATAACCTCACCTAAGTTCTCTTAACACCTTTTTGAAAATGACTCGATCTCGAATACATGGGATAAGTTCTTTCTGTTCAATTTCCGTAAAATCTTCACTCAACAACGTTGCTCCATCGATCTTATTACCTTCAATGGCAATGGAAAGGCAAAACTCAAAACAAAATGAATCCCCTACTTTCAAAATCATCAAAATACATGCTCAATCCATTTTGATTTAACCACTGCACGACCTGATCGGTATTCCAACTTGAAACATCCATCGAAATTTCTTTCTGTTAGAAATAAGTTTTACTTTCCTTTTATATGTTGTTGTTGACAGAAGAACGAGTAACGCGCACGTGTTTTTACTCCAAAGAAATTTCCAACTTCGATCATCAAAAGGAAAAACAAAACAAGATGAGTTTATATCTTCAGTTTGCTTATTTATTCAATTACACAAACAACAATAATAGAATGTCTAAAACGATTTGAAAGTTTAATTTTCATAAGAGGATGAGATATGATTTACGAATAATCTTCGACAACAAGACCATGACAAAGTTGACAGTGATGAATCATCCATTTCAGCTATAGTGTAGACCAATTTCTCTGCTGCGATTTGATTATCAATCATCATTTTAAATCCATACTTAACGCCATTTAATCCACCCGGTATTTTCATGACTCGGATTAGGCTTCACTAAGCCTTTTGGCAAAAAGTACGTTGATAATAATTTATAAAACTTCTCGGCAAATTATTTATCTTGTTGTCGTTGACCATAAAATTGTCCAAAGAGATTTCTTTCGATTCCGAAAATTGTGTACATCAATACTTGATGTTCTTTTATATGTGATGGTAATTCTGCTCCGATAAAAGGCAATACCGTCACTAATTGCCAATCTTTTCCAGTTAATGCTGCACAAACTTGTTCAGTTGAGTCAAGTTCGGAGAAACAATCGAACGCATAAGTTAAATCACCATGTGTTGCTTGTTTTATTAACGAAACGACATTTGGATCTTTACAATCAAAACAAATATCAGCACCGAGTTCTTTTAAATATTGATGACGTTGTGATGACATAACAATCGATTGATTTAGCTATTTGGATGACACATTGTCCAACACTTGTACTTCTTGTCCAAACGACAAAATCGATTTGAACATTGATAGGTGGAAGTGGTAATTTCATCTCATGGAAAATTCCAAGTGCGACTGTGATGGATACAAGAGGAAGAGTAACAATTTGATCAGGTAAGATTGTTGATGGAAAACGAAAAATCAGCGATGCTTCTTGGACAACATATTCATTTCAGGATCGAGGCCCCCATGAACACAACCAGCAACACGTTCACTTCGCTTGTAATTACTTGGAACATTCAGTAAAAACTCTAGGTTAAAACTAATGGTAAACTCGAACCTTTGCTCAAATTTCATGTAAAAAAAGGTCATTTTTAGTGTTCGCAGATGGAGGAAGAAGTCTTTGTTGATCAACATTAATTATTGAAAAAGCTGTCGGAAAGAATTATACAAAGAATGTCGTTGGATGACACTTAACATGTTTATTATTTATTCAAATGAGTCAAAAAATATCAAAGAAACTCATTTACATAATTTGATGATTTTATGAATACAAAGTCAATCCCTAATGATTATTATCTATCGAATCAAACAAAACGACTTACCAACAGCCTCTTTTCCAACGAAGTTACATCCAACGATGGAACCAGGTTTAGCTAAATCAAATTGAACATGTTTCCAATCTATTAGATTGTGTACTGTATGTCACAAAACTGTCTTGGACAACTTCTTCATTTATGAACAGATTCGACCAACAAACTGCTATAGCGTTGATGAACTCGAGTGAATCTTTTGACTCTTATTAATTAATTTCTTTATCTCGAGTTTCAGGTTTTCCGAGTAGAACAAGTATAATAAAATAACATCTTGTCTAACAATGGAATCTCTTTTTTCCCTTTCAATTGTTCAAAGATTCACATTAAGAGAACCTTTTCAATACTTGTCCTAATGGACTTTCTTTCAAATCTCGAACAGAATTGCGCCGAGAGACATTATTCGATATAGAAAGCTTTATTTCTTATAAAAGAATTCGTTAAAATCTTTCCGTGTAAAACAAGAAGAATGAATATCAGTGTGTCTACAACAACAATTGATCCATCTGGCAGTCGTTTAGTCGCTGTTCGTATTGGACTTCAACAAATTGGATGTTTCTTAAACATTTGCATCTTTCTTCGTCAATCCATGCGAAGTAACTCTTGTGCAATGTATTTTCACACAAGTTCATGAGCGAATCTATTTTGTTTAACTTAGGGATTATTTATCGGAATGTTGGGATTTTTTACAAACTATTACTCAGTTGGTTACAATTCGATTCTTTGTAAAACCCGATACTATCTTTTAACGGCATGTCAATTGATTAGTCGAGGTTGTGTTGTCATGGCATGTCTTGATCGATTTCTTTTACGTCCACAAAATGTTCAACGTCGAGCGTTTTGTCAAAGAAAAGGCGCACTGAAAATGATCTTTCTCATTATATCGACATGTTTATGAGCCTAATTCAGCATACTATTGCACGGTGAATTCTGCGATTGGAAGAATTATCGATACGATGGTTTCATTTGTATTTGGTTTCGGCATTCCGGCAGTATCAATGAGTTCACTCAGTGAATTGATCATATGGAAATTAAAACAAAATTCGCAAAGATTCGCTCAATAAAGAGTAAGTCTTTTCGAATCGATTGCATTTTCTGAGAAATGTTCTTTAAGGTTTACGTGCGCAAACGAGATGTTCAACTCTCTGCGATGCTGATTGGACAAGTTATTTTATACATTGTCACCGCACGACCATTTGTGTCTAATTTTGTTTATTTATCAATAACACAGTATGATCCACCATCTTGAGGGGGTGACGAGAGAATCTGTAAACAGTTGTATAAAGGTCAAGTTCTCGAAATTCATGTAAAATAGAACGTGATTATATCAATAGAAAAGTTCGTATGCAATGCACTTTTCTCTAATTAAAAGAGAATTTTAAAAGGGAATTTTTAAGTCTTTGTTTCGTATTTTTAATTTCCTGAGAGATTCGATGTGTATAAATATGACACGAATAATAAATGCACTAATAGAACGTTCTTATTTTTCAATCCCAGTTTCAAAGTGAATCTATGCCAAGATTGATCCAAGTTAGTAAAGGTATTGTGAAAAATCCATTGAATGTGACGAAGAGAAAAGGACGATCAAAACGTCATTCGAAGAAGAATGTTGATCGACAGTACAATTCATTTGATTTACACGAGCAATCAAAAATGTCTTCAAAAGTAGAGAATTCACCAGATGTTACAAATAGGGGTTGTCATCTTTGATTTTGTAGTCTATTCTACGTAATTCGGTACTCTCAAAAGTTTCTCCTATTGAAGAAAGCATTATCATTCTTGAACGGCAAAATAAACGTCGAAGGTCGGTTTTATTGAATAAAATTTCACTAAATTTCATCTTTTTCATAGATTTTGTAAATATTCACGACGCTGTTTGCTCATATCGGCTGGAGTATTACTTGGTACAACAGTTGTTTTAGGCCTCATTGCTACAGGCATAGCAACCAGTTTAAGTAAACGCTTGTCTTGAAAATTCTTTGAACTTTTCATTTTAAATGGCATCATAGTGTCAACTAATACTCCAAGAACGACAGACACAAGTAAATTTCTTTTTCGCTTATATAAAAACTTCCTTCTGACTTATACATCCAGCAACTACATCAACTGGCACTACAACAACCACGGACACAAGTTCGATAGATTAATACTTAATTCCAATCCATTCTATTGTCGATATTCATAGCTACAACAACAACGAGCACAAGCACTTCTACAACTTCTCAAACAACGACAAGTGAATAGATTCAATTTTTCTTTTTGGGTCATTGTGCATCACATTCTATTGTTGAAATTCTTCATTTCAGCCTCGAGTTCAAGTAGCACAACCTCAACCAGTTCCACAACTTCAACTGCTACAACGGTTATAAGTAAATAATCAGAAAACTCTGACCTATCAAAATAATTTCTATATTTCAGTTCCAGTTCCATGTGTTGCAACTGCATCTTTCACAGGTCCATCCACATTAAAAACGTTATCAAATGGAGTTTCGAGCTATAAGTGTTACAGTTTTAATTGGACAGCCACAGCAGCGACACACACGATCACTTTCAGATTTCGATTCGATAGTGACGATTGGTACATGGATGATGTTTCAATTTTTGATAGTTCAGCTAATCAATTAATTGTCAATGGAGGATTTGAAGGAGGAACTACTGGTACTGCGAACAGTCGTCCAATGGCAAACTCGTGGTCTTGGTCTGGATCATCATGTGGTTGTTGTGGTGGCGTCTCAGGTTCAGATCCAAAAACCGGTTCAAAATCATGGTCCGATGGTTGTAATGGAGCAACGGATACTCTATCACAATCATTTTCAACAACTATTGGAAATACTTATTTTATTAGTTGGTGGTTGGATGCAAGTGGAACTGGTTCGGCGACATTTAGCGCTTCGATAGCTTAATCATCGTGATCAAATATTCAAGTGCTACGTAGAACTGGTCAATTGATTGATTGAATATTCTTTTCAAATTATTTCTTTTCATAAGAAATTTCAATAAATAAAAAATCATGTGTAATCAATCGTATTTGCTTTCATTTGAATTGTAAAATATACACAACCTATATAAAGCCATAGGATTTCATGGTTTCGGTAAAAAAAATGGCTCGTCATTTGATTCTTCTGGCTATGATCATCGTTGTTCTCATCATCTGCTTCAGTCCAAATCTTGTCTCAAGTGTCAATCCAAGAGATTGTTATATGTGGGATCAATGTCGTCGTCAACATGAAAAGGAAGGTGCACAAGTTATTTTTTGGCAATGTGGATCTGTTCCTCCCGGTTGTTTTTTTCGAGGATAAAAGTTCCTTTTTTTCTCGAATTTATCAAGTTTATAAGGGTTCAATATGTCCTCTGAGACAAATTGCCCTTTTAATAAATTGAATCCATTCTCGAAATTGTTTGTAAATATTTGGTAATGAACCAACGATGATAAAAGGTAAGAATTGATTAACAAAATAAGCCGAATACTGAATGTCACTCAGAAATGTTGAATCCCACAGAGCTTCAATGACACCAACAATGATTTCGGGTAACATAAATGTAAAATAAAGAATTGAAATAAAAGCGAATTGAATAATCATTCGTTTCTGACGACGCCGCAATCAATAATTCGTCTTCGTTGAAGTTTTTGTTGAATAACACGGAAGAAAAGACAAAGATTGACAACGAAAATCACAAACATTGGCGAAGCATAATGAAATAACCAATCAAAAGTACCTAAAAATGGCACATAAGAATAACATGCACCTAGACAAAAAATCAGCGTATAATTCGAAACATTTTCGCATTGATTTGGATAGAAAATCGCAATGAAATAAAAGATCGGACCATAAATCAAACAAACAACCAATGGAATATAATGAAATGTGAATAAATGTCTCTGTAACGAACACAATGCTATTAGAAACGCACTCATACTAGTAATAGGAATTCAGAAGTTTATCTTATCTTTATTTTTATCCTGATACATAGGAGATCTTCTACTAGATGTTTGGACATGTAGTTATCATCATGGTTAAAGAGAAAATCAAATAGTTTAACGGCAGAATAGTGGAGCATTTATAGGAAGATGTAGCTTCGATTCCTGATTTGATTTCACAATCTGTCCGAAAAAGTTTCTCATCCTTGTTTGAGCATGTCGCTTTGAATATATCTACTGAAATATCGTATGTACTGGTGGATGCATGAAATGATTGCTGTTACCAGGATTTCTTCTTATCCTATTTGGAACTCGCCCTTGCCTTCAAGACTTGAGCTGTAAACATGCGCATGACCCTTTACAAAAAAAGTGTACAGTATACTGTCCCGAGTCAGATCATCAGCGTTGTTCAATTTTCAAAAACATTGAAGTGTGTGTATTTATTAAAGTTCTGCATACGTATTACTAATAATGAAAAGTTTAAAGAACTGCCTCATAAAAATTGTATTGATAATTCGCACTACATATTGTTCATACTTGTTTGCAGGACCATCTTAAAACCATTGGTGTGGACTTGAATTTTCTTCTTGCAGTTGTTGTGAAGTCGTATATGACTGTTGTTTTGATAGCATTTCCTAAATACCAAGAAGCTCAACCGTATTGTCGCTGTTTAAGTAAATTCAGAACACGGTTAGAAAAATTTTGGGACTTTCCTTCTGACATGTTCTCGGGTGAAGCAAATCTAAAATAGTTCTGCATCTCATTCTAAGACCCAATCGTTTTGACTATATTTTCAATATGGATGTAGAGAAAAGGAATGAACTATTTATTTTAGTAAACTTCGCTAAGGCTATTTCAAGTATACTTGACATCTTCACAACGAATTCTGTTAAAAAACTCATACGGTGAGTTTGTTTTCAGATATTCGTACATATGTACATGAGGAAAAAAGTGATAAACATATGGAAATCTTTGTTACCATATTTCCGTTTTCGTGTGTTGGTGTTTTGAATTCTTTGATGTAGCAGCGCCAAAGCTGAATTAAATGGCAAATCATCAAGACTACTAATATCAACACGATGAGCCAGGGCTACACAAAAACAACACTCATTAGTACCTGTCAGTTGCAGTGGCGCCCTACAGATGAAATAAAAACTTACTTTCCATATTCTAGACATATCTAGCAATAGTTTGTCAAATCCGTATATGATAAACGTAATCGCACCGGTCACTGTATACATCACCCCGGTCAAGGTTCCAACATACTTGGGTGGGAAGCTAAAAGAAGCAACAAATTGGCCAGGAGAATTTATCAAATGTCTCTCTGATTATAATAGAACTTGCGATATGCAAATCGAGTACAAATAATCAATTTTAGTGTTGGAACAGTTTGAGTAGTTCTTACAAGCGAAGAGAACACTTACAATGTGACTAAGACAGTCTGACAACCTGCCTCAACTAATGCACGTCCAATATTATTGATGACCAAGGCCGTAACGATGGCAGACGTCGTCAGGAACATGCAAGCAACGCACAATACCACATTCAAGATCCATGTTAGCGTTTGCACAAAAGATATATTGAGGAGCTTTTGTTTTTTGCCTAAATATCAGTTACAAAGTGGTAACCTATCTTCGAACTGAACACGTGTTCCGCAGCATAGTAGAAATCATTTGCATAGAAATATTCTCGGGTATTTTTAAAGAAAACATTTTTTATAGAGGCAATCAAGGTTTTTGAGAGTGCTTGTGAAATGAGTTTTATAGCAAACAACTCCTATGTAGATGATTTCCACTATGATGCGAAAATTTCATTGGTCACTTTATAATGCAACAAGCTTACTCCGATCAGCTCGAAATCCAATTATGAAGCCGCCGATTGAGCAAATGACGAGACCTGAGATTGATGACACGTTAAATATAAACGTGTATGTATCCGCTAGAATAATGAAACAGATAAGCATATCTTGAATGTACAGTCTTTTCTTTTTTGTCAAATTGAGTTGTGAAAAAAGTCAAGTTTATTTTTCTCAATATCGAAGTGTACAACTCGTAAAAAAGATCTCTGTTTTTCTTGAAATTATCTTCAATGTCTTCTTTGCAGCATAGAAAATGTTCTTCGTATGGCAAGTATTCATCCTTCTTACGTCAAAGCTCTATAGAACTAGTAACACTCGTCGAGGTAGACTCGCTATGCCGTCGACTAAACCACTGACTGAAAATTAAATAGTCTTATGTGCGTTTTATGCAAAAAAAGACAGAAATATAACCTTTGAAAGGGTCCCTAGAGACTGATTTTCATTCGCCTCACAGTCTTCAAAAGAGTCAAAGGACTACCTGTATTACTTTTAATTATTCTATATTCCTGACTGACAATTACTCTTCACAAGAAGCAGAAGTTCGCTATAAATGACTATTATGGATTTGCACCTTTAAACATGTCCTCCTTTTCTAAAAGGAAGATAATTTCAATAAGACCAAATGAGACTCGGTATAGATTTCGCATTCGAACGTGTCGGATTGTTCATACTTTGGTAACTGGCTAGATTACCAGGCGCCACTCACAACTCGCCGCTCCAAAGCTATCCCTATCTATCATATAATTACCTGTGTGCTACTAAAAAGTATCGTAAATTAATTAGCATTCCATCAGCATCTCATAGATAAAATTATCCGCGTCCGACCATTTGAGGCTATCTCCTTAATTAAAAGGCTTAAAGGCCTACAAAAACTTTCAATATATCGAAGCTCAGCATTTAAGATTGCTCTACAGTATGTACCTTGTGAATGAATGTATTTTTGGATTACTGGCCTTTGGTATGCGACAGTCAACCGAGTTTCATGAAGCTGTGAGCATTTTCGAAAAAAATGTGTTTTTGACCTTTGACCTCTGACCTTTAGACAAACATACAAACTATTTTTTTTCGTCTGGCCCTCCTCTCAGTCGAGGGAACTTCTACTTTGATAGACTAGAATATATTAGTCTTTCACGTGCGGCACGTACACATTCATGCATTTCGAACGAAGCATCGTGGTAGAGGGGAAGTCCATAACAATTCTTTTTGCATTCATATTCCTATAATTTCATCTCAAAAGTGTTCACGCGACGTAGATCTAACTCATTTATAGCTACAGAATATGAAGTGCCTGTTGATACGTCAAAAGCGACTTCCCATGGCAATGACACCACCAGTCTCATTATATTGACATCCTTCTGAAGCCTCTATGATCTCATTTCAGTTGGGATTCGACTGAGCATTTCCCTCAGATACAGATTAGTATTCAATAATGTACAATGTGTCAAAGCATACGTGAGCTTAAATTCTGTAATATTCTTTCTTTCATACAGCTATAAGCTACAACTGTTGTCGGTTAACATGAAAAACAATAAAACAACGCGAAGCGCATCTATTTACCTAGCGATGTATTCTGATTTGTAATATAGTACACCCAGGGATACCATACGACAGACAACAATGAACTTGGTAGAAGTAAAAATCCTAGGTCTAGTACCACCAGTATATAAAGAGGACTTAGCAGATGTTTCCAGACGCCACGTCTTCGACAAATAGTTGTATACCATTTCATTTTATCGTCAGTTTCAGTTGATACTAATAGATAACCACCNATAGCAAACAACTCCTACGTAGATGATTTCCACTATGATGTGAAAATTTCATTGGTCACTTTATAATGCAACAAGCTTACTCCGATCAGCTCGAAATCCAATTATGAAGCCGCCGATTGAGCAAATGACGAGACCTGAGATTGATGACACGTTAAATATAAACGTATATGTATCCGCTAGAATAATGAAACAGGTAAGCATATCTTGAATGTACAGTCTTTTCTTTTTTGTCAAATTGAGTTTTGAAAAAAGTCAAGTTTATTTTTCTCAATATCAAAGTGTACAACTCGTAAAAAGATCTCTATTTTTCTTGAAACTATCTTCAATGTCTTCTTTGCAGCATAGAAAATGTTCTTCGTATGGCAAGTATTCATCCTTCTCACGCCAAAGCTCTATAGAACTAGTAACGCTCGTCGAGGTAGACTCGCTATGCCCTCGACTGAACCACTGACTGAAAATAAAATAGTCTTATGTGCGTTTTATGCAAAAAATAAGACAGAAGTATAATCTTTGAAAGGGTCCCCAGAAACTGATCTTCATTCGCCTCACAGTCTTCAAAAGAGTCAAAGGACTACTTGTGCTCCTTTTAATTATTCTATATTCCTGACTGACAACCACTCTTCACAGGAAGCAGAAGTTCGCTATAAATGACTATCATGGATTTGTACTTTTAAACATGTCCTCCTTTTTCTAAAAGACAGATAATTTCAGTAAAAACAAATGAGACTCGGTATAGATTTCGCATTCGAACGTGTCGGATTGTTGATACTTTGGTGGCTGGCTAGATTACCAGGCGTCACTCACAACTCGCCGCTCCAAAGCTGTCCCTATCTATCATATAATTACCCGTGTACTACTAAAAAGTATCGTAAATTAATTAGCATTCCATCAGCATCTCATAGATAAAATTATCCGTGTCCGAACATTTGAGGTTATCTCCTTAATTAAAAGGCTTAAAGGCCTACAAAAACTTTCAATATATCGAAGCTCAGCATTTAAGACTGCTCTCCAGTATGCACCTTGTGAATGAATGTATTTTTGGATTACTAGCCTTTGGTATGCGACAGTCAACAGAGTTACATGAAGTTGTGAGCATTTTCGAAAAAAATGTGTTTTTGGCCTTTGACCTCTGACCTTGAGACAAACATACAAACTATTTTTTTTCGTCTAGCCCTCCTTTCAGTCGAGGGAACTTCTACTTTGATAGACTAGAATATATTAGTCTTTCACGTGCAGCACGTACACATTCATGCATTTCGAACGAAGCATCGTGGTAGAGGGAAAGTCCATAACAATTCTTTTTCTATTCATATTCCTATAATTTCATCTCAAAAGTGTTCACGCGACGTAGATCTAACTCATTTATAGCTACAGAATATGAAGTGCCTGTTGATACGTCAAAAGCGACTTCCCATGGCAACGACACCACCAGTCTCATTATATTGACATCCTTCTGAAGCCTCTATGATCTCATTTTAGTTGGGATTCGACTGAGCATTTCCCTCAGATACAGATTAGTATTCAATAATGTACAATGTGTCAAAGCATATGTGAGCTTAAATTCTGTAATATTCTTTCTTTCATACAGCTATGAGCTACAATTGTTGTCGGTTAACATGAAAAACAATAAAACAACGCGAAGCGCATCTATTTACCTAGCGATGTATTCTGATTTGTAATATAGTACACCCAGGGATACCATACGACAGCCAACAGTGAACTTGGTAGAAGTAAAAATCCCAGGTCTAGTACCACCAATATATAAAGAGGACTTAGCAGATGTTTCCAGACGCCACGACGTCGATAAATATTTGTATACCATTTCATTTTATCGTCAGTTTCAGTTGATACTAATAGATAACCGCCATACAAGTATTACTGTCTGACTATACATGAATGACACTTACGAGCTGTGGTTTCTAGCTGTTGTTCTGGATCTTCTATAGGTTTATAAGGTAAATTTAACACGGGAAAATTCCAGTCAAGAAAAAGAAACGATGTAAAGATCATGATCCCGCCGAATGACATCCAAATGTAAGACAATTGTGTAAGCGTCAAAAGGTTTTTATCAACAATTACCTTATAATTCAATGTAATCTCAATCTGGTTTGAGAGGCAGACGATGAACTCACTTGAAAGATGGAATACCACATGGCTGATGAAATGAAAGCGCCCGTATATAATGTTGAAATGAATGCTCGAGTTTTGGAAAAGTAGATGACCGATGTAGCTGCTGTTAACAAAACAGTAGTACTGGCTAATGATGTGCACACAGTGTGAATATATAGAAGATAATCTGTTCCTGAAAAAAAAAACAAATCTAACATGAATTCATTTCTATTGTATTAGCCTACCAGGTTTGATGAGTGCCAATGTTAACCAGCCGATGACGTGAAAAATTCTTTGAGACATAAAGACAAATAGATAATGAATGAATCAGCAAAGATGTGCACTTACACTAAGATCAATTTTGTGAAACGACAGCCAAATCGATCTATAAGCACACCAAGTAACGTTGCTGGCAAACAGTAGAGGGCAATGCCTAATGTCGATGCATTCTAAATAGTGACGCTCGCTTTTATGAAAAGACAAATGAAATCTTTATGGTCTACTTCATATTGATGTGTCTGACTATCACAACTTGTTGGTTTAACTGATGTTGAATTCATCACTGTCGATTGATCGCAATTCATCGCGTATATCCCTTGCTCTTCTAACACGCTGTATAGAGCAGAAAACCCAAAGATATTACCTCCGATAAGATTCACTTCAATTAACAAACATATGACCCCGATCCATTTTTGCATTTGACATCCGGTAGTTGCAGCTTTTCTTTCACCATCCCTGTAACGAATCAAGCTTTTTAAAGTTTGGTAGCATACAACTCTTTTTGAGAAGCTTTTTCCATTCAAGAAAATTCAGTAAGCTACCAGAGTTTTGCCTTTTGCTGCGAAATCGTTTTTATTACGATAGAATTTCGTTATTATAGAACATTGTGCACGACACCATCTGCAACTTTCAAAAATGGAAGATTTCTTGTTTTTTTCCTCTAAAACCATTTCTACAAAGGTCTGTTGCCAAGAAGGAACCCGTGGACTGTGGATTTTTCAAATAGTAAGACTAACGTTCAATTTGATTGATTTTTATAAGCGTTTTGCATCTGTACTCTACATATATCGAGACTTTTCGGATTCTAATAATAATTTTAAGACTTGTAGTGATTCTGCTTAAATCTCTCTCTTTCTCTGTATATATTAGAGGTGTCGACAGGGCATAACCGTTGTACCCTGCTATTCATATACATTATCCTATGATTTCAACCTACCCAACTATTGTGTTCGTGAGATTATTAGCGTTACTCTTTTCCATTTGATCAATTTTATCCGTATGTCAGGAGAGAATATGTGTTAAAGTCGTCTAAAATAAATATGAAGAACAATCAGCAAACATCTGCGCAAAACGGTCACTCTAAATCGAATGCTTGTAGAAAATGCGTGTGGCAGACATCCATTATGATACAACTACAATACTGTCAAACCGAAAATGACTAGGCAAAATCGGACATCTACAGTGTGTTTCACCATTCTATGACAGTAGTGTTTGAAGGACTGCAATCTTGCAGATGTATAGTATTGGTCGAACTATCCAAAGCATTTCTAGGCTGTCAGGGTCAAAGATCAAAGGTGAAAAAACGTTTTTTTTTTGAAAATGATCAAAACTTCACGAATAGCGTGCGGAGATAGCTGAGACCGATCAGGTATCACCCGATGTAAAGCTGCGAAATTAGATGTCTAGGATACATGAATCAGGCATAGAATATCTTAAATGCTTGTGTTCTATGATCCTATCGATAAGGGCTAGGGTTGATTTCCTCTTGTAACGTCTAGAAAACGAAAGACAAGCTCCAGCCGACAGTTTTCTTTCTTTAGATTTTGTTGAGGTAGTTATATTGTGTGTGAAGTGTCGGAGAAGAAGCTGTATATGCTATGAACAATATCGGACAATCGGGAGTGGTGGACTGTAGGGACACCAACGATCGACTGCGAGATGAGTGGGTTGATACATCTCTTGAGAAGTTCTTATGACAAGAGTAGAATAAAAAGAAAATTAGTCCAGGACACAGCGAGTCTGCCTCGACGAGCGTTATTTGTTTTTTGTGTTTTTATTTTTAAAACCTGTATATTTCCTATGTGCTAACTATTCTTCTATAAACTTTGTACTAAATGTTTTAAAAGTGAAACACAAAAAACGTTAAAAGTATCCTTAAAAAATAAAAAATTTTGCGAATGGTCGCGAACGTTTTGCTCAACCGAATATGTGCAATTATGACCATATCGAAAAACAATATTTAAACTTTGTCAGAACGTGCATACATTTTTTGCTAGAAGAAAAAGAGTAATTGCACAGTATAGAACACACAGAATATACATAAAATCGATTTATTCACTTCATTAAAAAGGTGCGTATGTCGTTATCATTCGCTCTATACACAACAGTGCGACCTTAATGAAGCATATATGACGTCTGTGTGAAAAACGAAGAGGAAGCAAACATTGAAGGCATCTTCAAGCGTCCATTTCTTGGCCGAGCACATCCTGTTAACGTTTTCATTTTTCTCAGCTACTAGATAACCTATCCAGTTTGCATTTTCGTTAAAACATGTGTGAATGCATTTCTTTCAATACGTGAAAATATGAGCCCTCTTGAACTGATTTTGACAACCATAGAACAAGTTTATGATGGAAGCAATCAAGACAGCAGCACAAAGTGCCAGGGATTGCAGGGTGCTTGCTCTCTTTCTTGTAGGGAAGAGTTTAGCTAACGTAATTTGTATGCTTGCTTGAATGTCCATACTTCACTGATTGGTTGGATTTCAACATGAGAAGTCATGTGCCGACAAAACGAACTTCGAGGCAAATTTTTTTCTGTCGCTTTTTTACGTCATTGGATAGAGTTTTGTCTGCAGATCAGCAATATCTACTTTTTTCCTTAGCAAATTCTTTTTTCCGATCAAAAATTACGAAATACTGAGGTCATGTCACTTTTCGAGAAAAGTCGGTCTTTTCACAAAATACGCAAAATTTTTGACTTTGCTCCATGTTTTTGATCTTGAAGATATCTTTTTTTCTCTGATTCAGCATCACAAACTGAGTCTGAAAAACTTTTCAATTCAACTCTAGATTGAAAACTGCTACTGGCGACGTTTCGAATTTTGTTGAGCGCATCATTCAGTGAAAAAAAAGGTACTCTGCCAAACCAAAAAAAGATCGGCCAGTGGGCACACGCTCCGAGCCCTCATCACGGAACCTTTTTAAGTTTCGCACGCACCCAATAAAGATTCGGAACGTGTACCCGCCGACCGATCCTGGTTTGGTAGAGTACCTTTTTTTCAGTGTGATTCAGCATTTTTATTTATTGTATACAAAGTTAATTTCGGTTGAGCTGGTGGTTCTCTTGGAGAAATACTAATGTCTGAAGGGAGAGACAGATTTGTAGCACTTACACGCGCTGATAGTGGAGATGTAGAGGGTGACGCTAATGCAAACGCTGTTGTTTCTGATGGAGACAGCGAAGAGGTTTCGATTGTTTGCGAAACTACATCAGCACGATAAGTGTCATCAAGCTTTTTCTTCTTGAAAGATGAGCGAAAGAATGAATGAAGAGTATTGTGTTTTCGTTCTTTGTCGTCAGGTTGCATATTAGCAGAAAGAATATCGATCCTAACCACAATCACGATATTATTTATGGAATTCTCTCGTGAGATGAAGTCATGAATATAAGTGAAATGCTTATTATTGGTTGAATCGAAACAAGCCGATGAGTATTGCCGTGATAGAGGACGCCTCGTTTTGAAAAATATAGGTGGTTCATATCTCACAAGTTTCAAAATTAGTTTTCAAAACAAATCACCAGTGGCTGGGCGAGCAGCTTTGGTGGTTGGGCTACGCCACTACATATATCCACTCCTGTGCTTGTGTAAGAGACTATAAATTAGATTTGGCATTGTTTATTGATTAAGTAATCTATTTGTACTCTTCAGATTATCCGAGTGATTACATGATCGACAACTAACTAATGAGACTCTTCAGTGAGGTCGAAACAGGTCTTATTTTGCTTTGACTCCTCCGTCGATATAGCTATGATTCAATAATTGATTGTTACTCCTTTCGATAGCCATCTTTCATGTTAGTTGTCTTCATTGACTTCTATATGAACATATAACTTCGAATTCAGGATGTTGTTCGATTAACTATGTAGCTTCTAGATTCAGCAATTGCCTGATGATGAACCCTTAAACAAGATTGGAAACGCGTCATATGATGCTTTGAATCTAATCGATGAAAAACCCACACACATCCTCAAGATGGTTAATCTCATCGTATCAGAAATTCTCAATAATTTTATAGTAATATTTCCATATCACGCTCGATAATTAGCCATATATTAACTTTTTCAGTTAAATCGACTGATTATATCATTCGTGACTAACACAAACGCTACGAGCCTGAGTGTACGGGCTTAAAAGTGACTTTTATCTGTAAATATTTTATTCTTATCCAAAAGTCTCGTTCTCAAAACACAACCATGTGAATTCCATATTCTAGCCCCAAAGGAGCGGCACTGACAAGCATTTTTTCGCCAGAAGAATGTAGAATGTTCCGAAGTACAAAAAGAAACTCTAGTGAAAATATATATTAGCAATAGAGTGCTTAAAGTAGACTGTTACTGCATGGCTCAAAGGGTAAGTTTTATTTAAAATTGTTATATGGAGTGAAGAAAATTCTATGCCTGTAATGAACAGTACGTAACAAGGACAATATTCTGAGTTTAATAATAAAATATGAATAAATAAGTATCAACAGTTTAAGAGAACACCAACGTTGTTTGAACCACCATTTGTTACAACTAAATCTGCTTTATGATCGTTATTTACATCGCCGACGGATATTGAATACGGACTGGTACCAACTGCGTAAGTTGTTTGAGCAAAAAATGTTCCATTGCCTGCATTAAGAAGAACACCAATGTTGCTCGAACCAGAATTCGCGACCATAATGTCGGGTAGATTGTCTTGATTGACGTCTGCTACTGTAACTGAATATGGACTGGAACCAGTTGCATAATTAGTTTGAGAAAGAAACGTACCATTGCCTGCATTGAGACGAACACCGACATTATTTGTACCAAAAACAGCAATAATAACGTCAGGTTTATTATCCTGGTTTATGTCACTCACCGCCACTGAATTCGGATTGGTACCAGTTGCGTAAGTTACTTGCGCAAGAAACGTTCCATTACCTACATTGCGAAGGACACCAATATTGTTTGAGTTATAATTTACGACGACAATATCTGAACTGTTGTTGCCATCAATATCACTGATAGCTAACCAGGACGGATTCGTACCAACTGAATAATTATTGTTACTTATGAATGTTCCGTTTCCAGTGTTGAAAAGAACATTGACGCGCTTTGGATTACTACATGCAACAACTACATCAGAATGACTGTCGCTATTTAAATCACTGATTACGACATAATATGGACTATCGTCAACCGCGTAAGTCTTTTGAGGCAAAAATGTTCCATTGCCTGCGTTAAGAAGAACACCAATGGTGCTCGAACCAGTATTTGCCACGACAATATCCGGCACACTATCTAGATTCAAATCGCTTACAGCTAATGAAAATGTATAGCTATCAATCGAGTAAGTAGTTTGAGCAAGAAACGTTCCATTCCCTGCGCTAAAAAGAACACTGATACTGTGTGAATCGCGATTTGCAGCAACAATGTCAAGTTGAGTGTCATTGTTGACGTCGATAACTACGACTGCTTGTGGACGAGTACCAGCGGTGTAAGTTACTTGACTGAGGAGAAGTGAAGTGCATGCTGTTGAATAGAAAAGATCATTCGCTTTGTAGTGATTTGGAAACAAGTAGAGATAAAAACAGAAAATATTACTAGATCCTTACCCATTTAAAAACCCTAATATTTTAGAGTTCCTTAAAGTCTTTCTATCACATTCTATGCATCTTCATAAATGAAATTTCAACAAATTTAGAGTCTATGGTTTTTTATATTTCGAGTTGAATTTTAGAATAGAATTTAGCCTACTCTTATATAAGAAGGATTGGAGTTGTGGGTATATGAAGATGATACCTTCCATTAGATGAAGGCAGCTTGTTAACATCTATTCACGTCAACAGATACAGCAAATATGAAATGCTCATTTGTGCATGTTATTCATTCTTACACAATTTCCTATCATTAATCGCTAGCATCCGATGTATTGAGTCTCAATAATATATATATATATATATATATACTTTGTATGTTTGCCGTAACGGTATGGTTGCATTCAAGAAATTAAAAAAATAAAGCGAGCATGTAGAAATGAAAGACAACCAAAAGAGATCATATATACTATCACCTATAAATTAGGATTAATGTAAGTATCCGGGATCTTGTGGGTATTGCGAACGTTAGGATAACACCTACCGGCCACCTTCATCAAGAAAGATCTCTATCTACGCCCACCCCCACCGTCAAAATGACAAATACTAGAATTATAAATATCTTAATCACAACTTTTATCCTTTATACACGCAATACCCATAAAAACCCGTTACATCCTCACCCCACCCCAATATTTTCTATATTTTCTTATGCCTTCCTATACGCCTAATTTCTGTTTGAAATAAAGTCCCTTTTTTGTCGCTAAATTCAGTTTGATATACGTATAATAGACCATTGTATGCTTAAACTTTAGTTATGTAGAAAATCGGTTTTATAAATGATCACTTCGCAAAGATCTATAGATATTTCTTACGCTTATATTCGAAAAAAAAATTGATAACCTCTGACTTTGTGACTTTAGTTGGGAAACGAAGATATCAGTCGCATTGTTTTTCTCGCTAGTTTTTCTCGCTTTCTCCATGAAAACATGGTTGTAGTAGTCCATTGAAAAAATATGCTAAAGAATTGGTAATTATCTCATTCTATTACTAACCGGGTGAGGCTCCTGTTGACGATGAGGTTGATGATGATGTTGCTGAAATCGTCGCTTGATCTATGTAGAAAATAATAAATTTTATATGAATCAGAAAAATAATGAATCATATTAAGTTTAAAATTAACTTATTCTCTTTGTATCTTCAAAGATCTTTTTCCTGCTTAAACAAGATAATTTTATGAAAAAGTTCAATAGTATGGATTCTATTCCACCCTCACCATAAGGATATCGTGTTCTGAAAACTGTGATCATTGTCACAGCATTCATTTCAAACGACATATTTGTATTTTGATTGATTGAAATATTAAATAATTGACATTGTAAATTCGATTGATAAAAAGTAGCTGCCACACATTCATCCCGGTTTAAACAATTTGTTTGGCAACGACGAACGTCTGATGTTATCAAGTTACAAAATGGTAAACAAGTTGATCGAGCACATTGAAACAGTTTATCATTGACTATTAACATTTGAATTGACCGAATGTCGTTCGACATTGTTTGTATAAGAAATGTGAAGAAAAAGAATACAGAAATCTTTCTTGAACCCATCGTCAAAGTGTAACTTGTTGAAATGGAAAAGAGAATACTTTGTAAGATCAATACTACTTTCTTTCATTCTCTCTCTATCCTTTTTCTCTTTCTTTCTCTCTATACTTTCTCTCTCTTTTTATATACTTTCTTCTTTAAGTATCCAGCAAAGCCAAGCTGTTGTTCGTCCTGGTCCAAATCTTTTCTCGCTTGATTGCAATATAGCTCGACAAAATAGCCAGTTGGAGTTTCGATTTCGATACCATTTGAAAGAAACACTGCACATTTAGATTTCGGTCTTAATGAAATATTTCTTTCAGAATATGTAATTCTGATCTTAACATAGTCGTCCTATTTAATGACAAAGCAAAAATTCGTAAATTTTCCGCTGTATTTGTCCAGATGAACGCGGAGTATCTTTATCAATATCTTGATGAACTTTTCGTCAAGTAGATGCTTGGCTATGATGTAGAAAAGATTTAAGGATTTTGAATTAATTTGAATATCACTTTTTTTTATTGCAATGATAAAGAATGTATGGAGAGTGAAAAACAATTGGGAGATGGAAGATGCAGGAGAAAGACACACTACTGAATTGTTTTAATCAACATATTGAAAATCACTTCATGGATAACTAAAAACAAAAATAACTTCGCATAGAATGGGCTAGTTAACAAGTCGCCTTCTTAGTCGTACTATAGTTGTTATAAATAGAAAAAACCTCTTGTCAACAGCAATCATGAAAATGGCCTGATCTCAGGAAATAAATGTTTCTGAAATGATTATATTTTCTTAATGAATATTAAGAAAATAGAAAAAACTAGACCTAGCATATTCTCAAAGTGACAAAAAAGCTGTTAATTTGATTTGATGCGTTATAGCATTTTCCAGCAAACTGATTTTTACAAGATTTTCAAACAGGATTAAATGATCTTTAGATATATTTTCCATAGAGGGCGGTATTTTATCTACATAGCTTCCCAGTGTTTGAGAAAGAAAATAATTCGATTGTACACTGACGAATACTTACCGAACAAAAAGCTGTCATCACCCTCCGCAGCACCCTCAATGAGATAATAGTATGTTATACCGCTTATACCGCCTCATACTGAAATTCAATTTCCAGGAATTTCCTAGGCATCCGAAATGCATTGGATTTCCCGGCTAACGCTATAATGCATCATATGGTTAATTTGATTTTTTTAATGGAATTTTCACTTTTCATACTTTCTGTAAGATAAAACACTTAGGATATAGCAACAGTTCTGACAGTGACAGTTAGAAATCGTTTAACAGGTTTAAACAGTTTTCTAATATATACTATGATAGAGGAATAAAAGCTGTATCGTTCTATGCTTTCACTGTTCAGAGTTGAGAGGTGTTCGCTAAGAACGTAGGACATCTTCGTGCAGAATTCGACCTTTTCTCGAGCGGATTGGTTTCAGTGTATGTTCCAACCGAACTAACAATGGTTGCAAGTACAGCTTGATCTGTTATATCGGTTCTAAAAATGATATTTTGGAAAAGTATCTTCTTCACCGCAAAAACCTCAAAATTGTGGAAAAACCCGGGCGCATTCGTCCAACAACCACCTGGCTCGATTTCAACACGGGCTCCATATCAAACCCGACGAGCTCTATTGGTTCCAATCATAAAAGTTTTTATCCACACCCTCAAGATCAACCGATATAAGACTAGCCATCGAATAAGGACAAAAACAAAAGAGACTTAGTAAAACTTATTCATATACTGTTTTTTGAAGAGGATATATCATAGATAAGATCTTATTGTTAAAATTACAAATAAAATTTCTTCTGTTAAACTGATTAAAGTAAAGCAGTTTAAACTACTATTAAAAAAAACAAGTTCACAGTATTCTTCGAGTATCAAACCGAATATTTTTAGCTTATAAAAATTCTGCTATTTCTCTATAAACTTGAAGACACTACGCTTAATCAACTGATTCACATTTGTGCTTCTGTAATAAGGTACTCAGATTTGATCATATACTGATTCGCTGC